TTAGCATAAAATTAAAAGTTGCACGTAATATTTATTGTAATAATTTCTTATGAAATCTTGATAATTTGACGACTAAAAGATGATTTGTTACATTGAATAGAATACAAAGCAATCAAAGAATCAAAAATCTGATGTGGAGATATTAAGACAAAAGAATTAGATGTGCAAAAGGAATTTGCAATAGAAGTTTAAAATGATTACAATTATTGATGTATAAGGTATGTATTTCCATTCAGATCCAAAAATTAGAAGAATCTTCCAAAAGATAGAATTATTTTTAAAAAAAACACAGGAATTTTATTGTTCTGTGAATATTGTATAGGAGAAAATACCCAGTAAATTCTTCTCAATTAATTCTTGTTAAACTAAACCGTGTTTATTGATTCAGTCTGATTTATGCAGACTTTTTAATGTATCTGCTGTATCTCTTATTGTGTATTATCGGATGTTTTCGATTCATCTACACGTCTTAAATTGGCGTACTAAGAAAAGACTTGCGAAATATTCGATGAATAACAAGAATAAAGAAAGATGCTGAAAATAGTCAATTTAATCATTATTCCGACTTTCTCTGTAGTCTGAACTTTAGTTAACTGAATGGCTGTTGTTTTCAAATGCATTTAAATGTGCAGTTTTTAAATTTTCATATTTTTAAACTTTAAAATTTTCATACCCTTGAATTTACACTTTCGAATTCTCGCTTTCAAACTTTTTCAAATTCCTGAATTTTATAATTTCTTAATTTTCGAACGTCTATTTTGAAATTGAGCCTTGATTTAAGCTTCCAAAATCTCGCGTTCAAATTTTTAAATGCTTCCAGATGTTTATATTTCCAAATTTTTCCTTTGAATTTGCATGCTCTGAATCTTATAAATGTATAAATTTTATTAATTCAAAAATTTTTCAAGCTTTCAAATTATTAAATTACCCCTGTTACATTTTCTAACTTATATCTTCCTACGAAATTTCACGAAATGGCTAACATAGACTATACAAAACTGTCTTTATACAATTAAACCACAACCAAGGTATATTTTCAACGCAGCTTTGCCAATTTTACACAAAGAAATTCCAAGAAAAACAAGAATCGTACAACTAAAGCATGAATAATCAAGGAAAGGTACAAATTACCTACGATCGTCAGGATGACTTGTTTAAGGAGGTCCATGATCATGCCAGATTTCGGATCCGTTCCGGTGTCACAAATTGAGAACATAAACACTGAGATCGCGTACACGTGTCCTCTGTATATCATAAACTGGTAGACGGTCGTGAAGACCTTTTCCTCTTACTACGTCCGCCCGTTGAGTTCATTCATGAAAATCCGGTAGCCCTTTAAACTGTGAACGAATTTCCAATAAGGATACTAAAGAATGTCCCTTCTTTTTCCTTCAAGATCTTTTTCTTTTTAAGAGAAGTACCGTATGTTACAAGCAGTCTAGCTTACATACATAGTTCATTCATATTTATTGTTTGCTCGGTACTATGTATATGAAAAAAAAATAATAAGGATACAGAAAAAATATAAAGATGCACTATATACAGTAATGAACAAAGTAAATTTGTAAAATTAAAAAAAAAAGATTAATACAGAAATAAACAGAAATATTTAAAATTAAATATTTTAAATGTTATTAGAGTAATAGACCTTAGAACAGATGTTGAAGAGATGTTAGACGATTCCACAGAAAGCGTAGGAAGCAAAAATTTTGACTTAGTTCTAAGCCATTTATAACTACAGAAATGTATGTATGTACAATGTATTTTGTTTCTGGTATAGCACAAATGTTTGAACCAATATGAAAAAGAAATAATAATTTTTTTAGAAATATGTCCAAGTTATTTATTGAAGTGATTAATGATTGTAACGGATAAAAGAAATTATAAGATTTAGTAATTTTTGTATTTTTTCATCAACATTATATCTATCTATACATCTTCATTGCTCTTATTAAATGTAATTCAATTTTATAAAATTATCGTGTTATTTGATTTTTAAATTTTCTTTTGTCTGTATGTATCCTATGCAAGACAACAGGGACCTTGATTGATGATGAACGAGTGGCAACCGAAGAAAAGGTTACTCTTCACTGTTGAAATAATAAACAAACCCTTTTTGTTCATTCCAGGCCGATATTCACAGTAGCTCGTTGTCAAGGGGATGTGGTCCCTGATCTGGGTTAATAAAAATTCGAACGGTGTCGCATTTCAAGAAACACCGACGGAAGATTCTCCTTTTGACCTGGGAGCAAAGGGTGACCGAAAAAGACTGCGTTCTTGGAAAATTGCCTTTAAATCATCTTTATCGTAGTAAACTTGACTTTGAACTGGTCATCCGTCAGACGTGTGAAATCTATCGCCAGAATGTACATATAATATGGCTGTTGTAGAAGCTGAAGAGAAAATAAAAAAGATAACAACGCAAGAATGTAGAAGAACAATTCATCAAATTTAATATTAGGATGTACAACTTCATGAAAAAGGAATTTCTTTTTAGTTTCCGTGTGAATGTTGTTTGACTCAAGTATGAAGAAGTATATATCATATCTAATAATTATGACTAGATGTAGATGTTTATAAAGTTCTACAAATTTACAAAATATAATATATAAAATATCCAAAGTTGAGCATTTATTATACTATTATGTTAGTAAAGCACTTACTACAATGTATTACAATAGATGAAACAAATTTCCATTTAGAATTAATTTCTTCTGTTTACGTTTATAAAACTATAAAATTACATGAACATCCGCAGTCTAGTTATAATTAAATATTTGACTGGAAAATTTATTAAGTTATTTTATATAGAATTTGAATATTTAAATAGAGAACAATAAACATACACACAAGATCAATTCTAATATCGTTTATTTTTCAGTTAAAATGCAGTGCTAAAAAGATTATATATGCATGTACCACCTATTTACGTGTAATGCTATTTATACTCGATGATCTCGATATTCGAATTATCTGGTTTCCATTCCTCGATTTATTTCACGTAGGAAAAAGTTTCGATCTAAATTAGAGAATTTTTCCTTATATATTGAAGATTAACATTTGAGCTCACTGTACAAAAATAAGTATCAAAGATGATATTGCAAATAATAAAATAAATTACAGACGCAAATAAGACAAGAAATTTAAACTTAATCAAGATTCTCTTCCTGAAATTAAATCTACTTTTAATCCCACAGATAACATTAGGCGCAGCTTCAAACCACAGATAAGAATGTTAATTTATTCGACATTGAGTCGCGTGAGCAAGAATTGGTAAAAAAAGTGGAGCGACGATGCGTTGACGGTAATGCACGCTGACAGAGAGGGCTTTTTGCCATCCGGAGAAGCATCGGCCCTGGGAAAAAGACAGGCAAAGCCACTTAAAGTAGCTCCAACACACGTAGGAGAATCGTACGCTGACCGCTACTATTTTCAGTCCTTTTTTATCGTTAATTACAGTGACCTTTATCGAAAGCCACTCAAGCGTCTCTCACTCGCAGGTTTTGCTTCAACATTGCGGAAAGTGTTAGTTTAAAAGTGCAACGCCGAATTTTAAAATAGGACGCACTTGAATGAGATTCGTGGAAGTGTATTCGTTGAAGACGGATGCATCCAATTTTCTTTGACATTTAATTATAGATTTAAGCCATGTTCACGAACAGGCTCATCGTTCCCCCTTTATTTCGGGTAAACGATGTAACACAGGAGCAGTCGTAGTTTGCTTACAACTGCAATCATATATAATGAAAGTTAAGTTATCACTGGACATTTTTATACAGATGCATAATTTGAGAACGTAATTAAAAATATAGAAGGAGAATAGAAAATCGTTTTATATATTAAATGTTAATATACTAATATATTAAATTGGATATATTCATATTGTTTCATATTATGTACATTCTGTTGTTTTGCACTTCAAAATTTCCTGTAAATGCATAAAAATTAGTTATCACATAAATAATACATTTAATTAAATATTACAATATCTATATAATACTTATAATATATATATATAAATATTATAATAACATTATTATAATTATTACAGATACAATGCATATGCAATGCTTTGTGAATAGATGAGATTATTGGATGGGAATAAGAAAAATGACAGAAAATAACTGAAGGAGATAAAAAAGTGGGGATAAGTGAAAATAATGAAATAAGAAAAGAAGAATAAATAATAAAAAGGATAAAAGAACAGAGAAGATAAAAAGGATATAAAAAAAAGAATGGAACTTTGTAATTACAGAATAAAATTGACACTCTCAAAAAGGATGAATTTTAATTAAATAATTAATTTAATATAGTCATAAATTATTTATGATTTAATTATCATGTATCACACATAATATCTATATAAATATATTATAAGAAAAACTTCATTAAAGAAAAATGTAAAATAATCATTTTCTAACATATTATACATCTTTATATTCCAGAATAATATTCCACGGCAAGCGAAAATTCTTTCCTGTCTTGAAGAATTGATTGCAATAATCTCAGACAAGTAGAACTGCACTATTCATCAGATTTATTTGAGAAAATATCTCCTAACGAGTTCAAACAAAAACTCATCGCTTCAAAAGCGATCTCCTATCACCCATCAAGAAAACAAGGAAAACAGAGAAGAGAAAATTATCATAGTGTCATCAATACCTATGTCGTCGGTCCATGGTGTACATCATAAGTATCCCCTAATAAGTTCAAACAAATCCCATCACCATCTCAAGAACAACGTTACCACCAACACCATCATCCACCGAAGGGAAAACGAAGGGAAATGAAGATGAGGAAAATTACGATAGCGTAACCAATATATCCCCGATTTATGGTATACGTCGCATCCTCTCAATTCCCTATTTATATAAATCATGCACTCCAGTGTTGGCTGATTCCCCGTTCAATTTCCTAATTGAATCGAACGATATGCGTCGCATGGGCGTAGACCAGCTTGAGCTCCGCCCTTTGGTTCCACTCCACCAGCTTCGAGCTCTCTTCTTCTGGAGTCTGCGCGTTACACCCACCAGCGGCGTGTTCAAGTGCCAAACAGAATAACCCAGTCGCTCGAGGCGACCTTCGAAATTGGTGTTCTTTTCTTAGTGGCACTTGGACCGCATCCGGAAACGTATTGACCCGGGGAGTAGTGAAATGCTGCATCACCCTCGCGTCCATCCTCGGATAACAGATATTCGAATCAAATATTTTGTCGATTGTTTAAAAAAAGGAAAAATTGTCGAAGATAATCTCTCTCGATTTTTGGATATTTCATCTGACACACTGATATATAATTGGGACTGAAAGTTTTGTGTAATTCAGATTCTTCGTGAACGGATATTTCGACGGTTTCAAGAAATTTCGAAAGAACGGTCTGCGAAAGAATTGCGATTGACGGAAGATCTTTCTGAAGAATCTGGCAGTGGTAACTTTTTTTTTTTTGATAGTTCTGCGATTGATTGATCATTTATGTGAACAGAATTTTTAATTACGATAACGGATCAGTGGGAAATTTACGCAATCATCTATCATTGTTTCGTCGTCCGATCGCGAATGACTAATTTTGAGAAATAATTCGATTGGTACGCCCGGCAAGTTATCTTCGATTGCAATCTACGCGAATATTCTCAAGTCAAAAATCTCTTTCGTTACGATTTGAAGTGAGAATTAATTGACATTTTCCAATTCCGCAAGTGTTAAATCAAAATTTAGAAGATTTAAGAAAATTGAATTCGATTCTGCACGCGAATCGACTGATTAGAAGTGAAGTTTTTATTGGTGTGGTTTTCTGTGGACAGCGTAAGAGAGAAAAGTAAAACAACAGTTATAATGATGTTGGGTGGTTACGAGGCGCAATCGGATTACTATCCGCAATGGCATCAGCCCTACAATTATGTCACACAATTACCGTATGGTAAGCTTCATTGTATAATAATTCTGCTGCGTTCTTTTCATCAATCTCAACTCGTTCATATTTCTCTAAAATTAAGAAATATCTCAAGTTTAAACAAAATATGGAAAAGTTATTATTGGTATGTTTTATGTTGAATATCTTCTTAAAATACTATAAATCCTTCTTGTTAACTAAACTGAATGTGAGACTGAAACTGGAGGATCGTTGCAGAATTAATCTTTCTTTTTTATTTACTTTATTAATACGTAAATACCTAATTTGTCAAGTTATTTATAAAGTTATTATCTTGAATGATGAAAAAAATTTTATTTAAATTTTATAACGTCGTTATATGACTCTTACACAAGTGAAGCAAACAATAACTTCAAAACTGGAAGCTAAATTAAGTTAAATGAAATAGTTTTGAAAAACACGTAGGTTTAAAGTTCTCAAATTTTCATGATTTTTTAAACAAAGAAAATTCTGTTTATAGAATATCGAATGCCTAAAATTATGAAAGAATCGTTCAATGAATACTGTAACTGAAAAGTATACCGAATTTATTGCAACACGTGTAGAACTTATTTTCTGATGTACATACATTTAATAATTATGTCATTGTTCATATCTATATTATGTTATTTAATGAAGCTTCTAGAAAATAGATTAAGAAATAACATACATAAATATTGCAAAAAGTGATTGATAAAACAGTAAAGACGACAAATAAATTAATTAATTAAAAGAAAGAAAAGAAGATTGGTCAATTGTTTACTGTATACATTAAACAAAGATAACAACGATAAAGTTTTAAAGGAGATACAAGAATTAAAATGAAGCTAAGGTAAGAGAAAGATAAAAAATAAGTGAAACAACAAATTAAACTAAGCTAAAGGCAAAATAATTCCCCAGCAGAAAAGAAGCGATTCGCCACGATTCGCCATTCTAGCGAATGTAAAATTCTCCATTTTTCCTTTGCAGGTCCGCTGAATGTACCCGACGCGGATAGCCAATCGACGTACTGGGGCGCGGATTCCGGGATTTCCGGGGGTAGTTCTGGCGCTGGGAGTCCCACCGCTTCAACGCCTCCCCTAATCGAAGAGATCGGCGTCCAAGAACCTAGCTATTCACCCCTACAGCAATACCCACACCCCTCCATCAGCCAACATTATTCCAATTTACCTTACTCGCCTCAACAAGACGTTCCACATCATCTGCATCATCATCACCATCACCATCATCATCATCAACAAAGTCACAGAAGGGAGGGCGACTATTCGACGATTTCTTCAATAAATCAAGTTGACGGATCGCTTCAGCAACACCTCGGCCAAGAAGTAAGAGACGGTGGCGCAGTCGTCAGGCCTAAAAGAAGAAACACAGCGAATAAGAAGGAAAGAAGGCGAACGCAGAGCATAAACAACGCGTTTGCCGATCTACGCGACTGTATACCCAACGTGCCGGCAGATACGAAATTATCGAAGATCAAGACACTGAGATTGGCGGCTTCGTACATTGGATATCTGATGGCGGTGCTGGAAAGCGACGAAGGAGAGGAGCCGCAGACCTTTCGCGCTGAAATTTTGTCCAATGGCAGAAGGAACAAAACGGCTCAAGCAAGTCAGGTCAGTCTAGAATTAAAAATTTAGGGCTGTTGCAATGAGAAAGCAGTTTCGCTCTCTAGTAATTTGTTCAAGCTGACGAAAATTAGCTAAAAAGAAATTCATTGTCGATTATTATAAAATATTGTACTTTTAACTTTCTTTCCTCAATAGTACAATTCTTTCTTTTTCAATAGTACAATATATAATATGTAATATCGCAACTGCCTTCCTGTAATACCTGTTCGACGATGTTCAATTCGAACTTTGATAAAATGCAGTGTTAATAAAATAACGTCGAAATACTTTTCTCTCTAAGAAGTGTTGCTCACTTCGCTTGGGGGCTTGAAAATCATGAAAATTTGAATTGGTTTTGCTTCATTTGTGAAATTTCTAAGTTTCAATCCACAATTATGATATTTCTGTGGGCACTTAAAATGTTCTAGATTTTGCTTTGTTACAATATAGGAAGCACAAGCCTTTAATACAAATACGTAACATTGTATGTATTGAATTGTATGACGGATTTTAAGAAGTATGTAATTGTATATTTATACAAGTCTGTATGAAACAATCTCTTGCTAGTGACAAGAACAGTGGCAGCAACTATGCGCTCTCGTTTCCAATTTATATCTGGCCTAATATAGGGTTGATATTGGCATGACAAAGAAATCACAAAGAAATCTCGATAGTGTTATCGAGATGCGGGAGCATTCCCTTTGAATCAACTAGAGAATACCATTACATATCAAGTAACATTGAATTTAGTATCCTAAATGGAGAAGTCAAAACAAATTGAAACAAGTCTCGACATGTCTTGAGTTGTATCTTATATCTTATTTAAGATACAGTGATGTGAGAAAAGATTGGTTTATTATGTCATCATTTTTTTTTTATCTCTAAATTTATATAGACAATAGCATCATATTTGTTTATAAAATAGTGTTTATCTGATTACCAAATCTTGCTGCGATAATTAAAGTTTAACCAAATCTTCGATAAATAGAAGTTGGATAGAAATAGATCGTTGAAAGTTTTGCTCTGTAGAAGCTCATAGACATTTTTATTAATACTCATTCATGCGTATGGAAATATAAAAACTTTTTGATATTATAATAGTTACTTGGTAATGTGCGGAACGCTATGTTATTGGTGAAACGACCGATAATGCGATGATTCTTCGTAAAAAAAAAAATTGACGATCTCATCAACATGTGTGCAAATAGAAATTTAACAAGAAAACTAGAAAGTTTTAAAAAATGTAATGTGTAATGGTATTTAATACTTCGTTTTCATTTTCCTACTTCTGTACATTGTACACGAAGTAAAAATCACATTCCACAACTTAAATACTTTAGATTTTAAAAAGCAGTAACTCAATTTAAATCTTTTCTGAAAACTTGACTTAAATCGAGAAAAAAAAATAACAATACTTCGATCCGTAAACTTGAAAATAGCCTAATGGGTATTTTCATAATGAAAACGAATCGTATTTCAACAATGGATTTATGGTCATCTATTTCTTTCTTTAAATCGTTTGAAACAATTTCGTAAGCATTGCCTTCAAATAAACACTCTGTTCTCTTTAATTGGCTCTCATTCGCTGATGCCTGAGAACTCGGCCTCAAACTTATCGTACCGAAGCTTCATCTCGTTTAGATGAAAAAAGACGTAGAAGAAAAATTTCATCGTGATTCACGTGCCACGAGAACGAACGTTCTCAATTAAGCGTACTTCTTCCCCGTGTTGTGACAGAGTAAATTTAACGATACTAAACAAGAAATAAATTTATGAAAATGAAATATTAAGTATAACATTAATAAATAACTGAAACTTAGTGCTCTTTTGATTGTTTAATTTTCCATTACTATCAGAGATGTCAAATAATATAGAATAAAAAGACGTGGGAATTAAAATTTATGGAATTACGAGAAACTTTTAATAATTTCATAAAAATTTTACATTTGAAAAAGAGGCCGCTTTTTGTCTCTATATGTATATACTTATTTATGTCAAATATCGTTTTAACGTTGATCCTTTTAATTGATTAAATTACAAATGGAGAATTATATCACACGTTTATTTATCAGGATAAATAAATAATTGATAGATTTAAATTTAATGAATAAGAGGAAAACAATTTTGTGAAATGGTGAGGAAAATAGATTATAGCTAGGTTTTCTACATATTATATTTTAGATAATTTCGTGGAAAAGAAAATATTTAACTATTATAGTTTGGACTGTTTTCATAACTTAAATTTCAGACATATAGCTTGTCATTGGACCACCCTGTAGTATTGTGCCCTTTTTTCTATTTCCTGTGATTTTTCGATCCACCCAAAGACCTTCTTTACTATCAAGATCATCGACCTTTGATCCATCCATCATCACTGCAAAGAAAAAGAGAAGAATTACACAAGGAAAAATTACAAACGTTCAAATACAATTTACATACATGGAACGCAGTGTAAAAATGTATATATAATTATATTATATTATATAATTATATTATATTATAATATAATATATACACTGTGTGATAAAAAAATACAAATACAATTTAAACATCATATGTATTTTATGATAGACGTTGTTTGTATACGTTCGATTTTTCATTGCAGAACGAGTCGTATTTGCAGCATACGTCAGGTCTCGGGTCCGAGGAATCGTCGAAAAGCAAAGGACGAACTGGTTGGCCGCAACATATGTGGGCCCTCGAGCTGAAGCAGGAATCGCCCACCAACCAGATGCAATAAAATCACCGATTCCCTATCTATTTCTGACACGTTGTGGCTTCTGTTCTCCTATCATTATCGAGAAACCAATCCAAATTGGAGGGTTGGATCGAGGTTGGTGGCTAGCCAGAAAGATTTGAAGTAACCTTCGATTATTTTCATCTTTTCCGAGCCAACAATCTGGTATTTCGAGAAGCGTAAATAGTCGGGAGGAACATATTTGTTATTACTCTTTTATCTTCCATCATCGAAGCATTACGTAGCGAAATAAGATTAATTTATTCACGTAGCTGCGAGATAAGGTCAATGTAAAAATGTATTTTAGGTAATATCCGTATGTATGTGTGTGCACGAGAGGGTGAAGAGATTTTTAATCCCTTTGCTTTAACTGATTTTACTTCCACCGTGTTTACACTTTCGATAATTTCAAGATCTTTTGAATTTGATAAATCCAACAATTGTAAAATGTGCCAAGCGATCGTTTGTAAATACGCGTCGGTGAGTTATAGTTTGTGCCTGTAAATAGAAGTGTCTTGTTTCTTAGTCGATAATAATTTACATACGACCGTTAATCTCTCTTATGTTTGTCTCCATCGAACGAACGATCAACTTGCGATCATTGACACACACACACACACACACAAAAAAAAGATAACGAACAGAAAATCAAATTTGGACGTCATTTCATTTCAATCTTTTCAGTCGGTTAAAGAGAATTTGAATAGTATCATTCTCTCGTTAGTTCTAAGCAAGCTGATTGTTTTAATGATGCTCGTAAACTTTTGTATAAACTATCTATAGCGATGTATAAAAAGTCACTAGCAATAAATAGGATATCTAGTAAACAAGGTCTTAAGAGTATTATCCCTCGTTTTCTATTTTATATTATTAAAACCTAAATAGTAGACAGCTTCAAGTTCAGATGAAGAGTTTACAACAAAAAAATACCTACATTTATACGACTTTGGATAACTTTGTGTTGAGTAATCCAAAGCAAGAATAACAATATATGGTCTCATTCGTATCTAATTATCCTTTGAGGATGGAAGAATTTCCTCGAAGACTTCTACGTTTTTATTTACTAACTTTTAGAGTACAAAGTATAAAAGATAAAGAAAAATGTTTCAAATAAAACTTAAATAATACAGTAAGTGCTGTGAGTACACGTTGATAAAATTTTCAAGAAAAGAATTTTTATTTTCTTTACCAGACTTCAACGTAGGCTTTCTTATTGAGATCTTGACTTGCCTGGAAAATGTGTTTCTCTCAGTTATGCTGAGAAAGCATTTTCCCATGGTGATGGTTTCGAGTTTCTCGAATTTCCTGGTACTTGATCTACGTTTTAGTCTTTGAGAAAGTGTTGGCTAATACGTTCACTTGTCAGAGAATTCTCTTCTTCACCCGCGCGACATTTGTCCCTTATTTTGTGAGAAATATTATGCAAATACAGTGAAAGATTTGAAATTTGTGAACAAACTAAATTGTACTTTAAAAAGATCAATTAATTAATTTTCATTTACTTGTATATACGTATGATCTTCAATTTATCTTTGACATGTTAGTCATTTCAATACCTTTTCTTAGAGGATCATTTTGCTGAGTATTAAATAAACAAATAGTCGCGCGACGATTAATTGAGACTAAATATTTGCGGCACTTTTATCTGACAATGATCCCATCGTTCAGCTGCATTGATAACTATACACTGGTCACATTGTATGTTGTAGATGTTTTGTATGTTGTAGATCTCTTGTCCCCAATTCGTGAAGGAATTGCATACATGATATCTACAAAATATATCCCATATATTTAGTAAATGAAATAATGCTTAAAAAAAAAAAATTAATATTACATATTTTTAAAAATCCAAACCTACTTTTCTAAACTATTTTGGGTTTTGGACTTATTTTTTTTTTTTTTTTTGATAACTTGTTATTCTCATTCTAAGCTCATTAATCTAAAATATAAACTTTATTTATGAAACAATATAAAAATTCTACTAAAGTTGTACTGATTTTTAGTAATGCGTGTCTATGTAAATATAATGTAGTATCACTTGATGTTCATTTCAATAAACAATCAATTGGCTTGCTAGCTTATGATGACTGAGCTTCAAGCTTATGATCGTTTTGGCAATCATCTATCAGATCATCTTGTAAGTAATGAATTAAAAGCACTTTACTTAGATAAACATAAAATAATTAAACGATAATTGTAAATAAATTGCAATATTCCCTCTTTTGAAAAATAATTATTGTGATTCTTTATTTAAAAATCTGAGAGCTAAATGAGCGTTACAAACAAATCATTTAGTGCGTTTATAGTGAATATTAATTCATCGTAGTAGCGAAGCAATTAAACGGAGAGAATAAAGTCTTTAAATACATGAATTTGTAACTTTCATGTTACACGACATTGAATTCCATTTTACTAAGATAAACAATAATTTCATTTTGTTCATCCGAAAAAATACTGCATACATATGTGTATATATATGTATATATATGTATATCTGAAATATATACGTGAAGAAGCAAAAAGTACTCTTTTTGGAGAACAAAGTGGCACGTGCTTCTTTAGTACAAGGTGTTAAACACAGGAGAAGGTAGATCGGTACCGCTTCGTAAACTCTTCGGTTGATGAAGCGCAGAACACCTCCGTGGCCTGAATCGACGATATAAACACTCCGCGGTACCTAAGGAACTCGGTTATTCTCGGTAGCAGCAAAGAGATCGTTGCTTTCTTGTCAAAACTTTGCCATGAAGCTGCTGCTGTGTTACTGAGACCGTACGCGATTCCTACAATACAAAAAGAATTTCACGCATTGCTATTGGATTGTTCGTGCAAATTCATAATTTTATGAACACAACAGGAAGTTCGTTCTGTTTAAATATAACAAGTACGATGATTTGGATATTTTGTATATTTCTATGCAGTTTCGTATTTTTAAATTCCTTGCACTACTGCTTTATCTTTAAATTGCACGTGCATTTTATAACGCAATTATCGATATATTAACACGTTACAAACTCTTTTCTATTGCATTATTTTCGATTATTTCGGTTTTTCAACAAATACAATAAAGAAACGAATGATTTAAGGGTTTAGGGAAGAACAGGAGAAATAGAGAAGGGAAGGGAGGTCTCCAGAGTTCATGCATCAATCAGAATTGGAAGATTAAGATCAACCATCTGGATGTTGTATTGTTCTTACAAAACTACTTCCACTATTCTATCAGATAACGACTTATGCACCTCATAATGCATTTCATTGTCGAATGTAAGTGCATTAAATGCGATTAGATCGTCAATCTACTTCATCAATTTATTTAAATAAAATTTCTTCTACAAAGACTTTTATCTGTAAACGAGTTAATAAGTCAGTTACTGAAAAGATGTTACTGAATAGAAACTTATTATACAATTGTACAACAAAACGAACAATTATCTCTAAATATTGCAATTCAATAAATGAAACCTGTACATCTTCAATATCGATTTCTTTTAAACCAACTCCACTAATCCTCGAATAGTATAAGCTCATCTTCTCTCTCTCTCTGTCCCCTCCTCCGGTTTGTTTATGTATACTCTGTTTGATGACTTGACAAATGAAGAAAAGACGTGGGAATATTTTCGAAATAATATAACAAGAGAACAATCACGCACGAGGATGTATTTGTATGAATGTATCATACGTCAACGCGATGGTGCACGCTAAATGTATATATACGAGATCTAAGAAAAAAAAGTACAAAGCGAACGTTTGTTTGCTTTGACAAGTATCGAAGGTCCACGTACCCGCGAGAAGTCTAAGTACGGGTTGGCCACTTAGACTTCTTGAAAAACTGCCCCTTGCATGTGTCGCGCAAACCCTCTCCACTTAATTGCTTCTTTCGATACTCTTCTTTATCACTGAGCAAAAGAATGAGAGAGAAAGTCGATGTTTTGAAGATTTTTCATACATTACTTATATATATATACATATACATAAGTAATGTCTACGTATGTTAGACAACCTGATTAGTGAGAACGAATAAGACAAGTATGTAGATCAAAAATCGTAGATTAACATTTTTTTTATTTTTGACCAACAATAATTCAAAATAAAATGCTAATTTTATCAAATCAGAAATATTTTTATAATTTAAGAAATAGGACCAAGTAAAGGATATTACCACTAGCACTATGCTTTGGATATTTTATGTCGTTTGGGTGTTATATGTTTTCACTTAGAATAAAAAAAAAAAATATATATAAATTCATATAAACATCTGCAGTCTACTTATAACATTATAGTTGTTTTATTCAAAAACTTTTGTAACTTAAACTTAAACTTAAACTTAATGCTGTTATAACTTACTGTTATGTGTGTCGACAAAGCGGGGAACGAAATGATTGAAGGAATCTAAGATGTTAGTAGATTTATTGAGTGTTGGAATTTGTCAGACAGACAGGCATTGGAGCTATTATTGCAAAAAGGAGCAAATGAGCATGCTTCTACGACTACAAATCTTGTTTCAAATTGTTTACCCTTTGAAACTGTGCGTCATACGTAAACAATGCTGTTCTCCTTTAAGATAGATTATATCTTCTGTCCGAGTGTTCGAATTTAGTATCTCGTAAATACCCAACGACGGTGATTGCTGTGATATATAGAAACTCAATGTTTCCTATATTACTCTACAAATTAATTTAATGGATTATATAAAGTTAAAATGCTTTTCTTTAATTTCCTTTTTCTTTTGTTATACCTTTCAGAATTACTGATCTGTTACTACACTGCAGATCTCTGTGCAATTTATAAGAAATTTTAAAAAATAAAATTGCACATAATATGAAAAAATAAGTATATAAAATATCCAAGGTATAGTGTTTTCTGTAATATATAAAACTTTTTAACTAATTTCGTTTTATTATTTATAATTACTAATCAATCTACTGGTTATATTGAAGTATCAAATTATTTAAGATATATATATATATATATATATATATGTATAATTTGATTAATATTAAACTATCAAAATTCTAAGAATCCTAAAATTTCAAAATTCCACAATTCTAAAATACCAAATCTGCCAAAACTTCGAAGTTTCAGTACTGGACACGATCTCCTAAAATTTAAGAATTCTGAAATATTAAAACACTGACTTTCTTCTTAGTCTTCAATAAACATTAGTTTTCACTACATGTTACATCGTCAGAATGTAAAACATTCAAAGTGCATTGTAAACATAATTATTTGAATTTTCAACTTCAATTCTTCAAACTGAAGATAAATTATACAATTACATATATATGTAATAAACTTAAAATTTAATTAAAAATTTAATTAAACTTTCGTTCTTACTTTAATTTCTTTTTTTTTTACTTTATATTACACATGTATTGTGTAATTATACAATTAATCTTCAGTTCAAAGAATTAAAGTTGAAAATTCAAATTCAATTCGTATTCCGTAGGACTAGAATTTCGCTCTTTCTTCCAAATTGAAACCATAATTTCTACCACTTTCGGTTGTAACTCGATATTAAAACCCAAATACCAATATGCGAGTATTGTTCCGCGTGATTATGAATCCAGAAAAGATTCTCTCAGAATTGATCCTCCATTCGCGTTTCATAAGCTACGCTTTACCGTAAATTTAAATACCACGTCTCCGAGACAGTCGACTGATAAATGTGCCGATAGGCGAACGCACAGTCGAGCTTTTATACGATCCGTATCTCCGGATCTCCCCGCACTCCTCGGTCTCGTTCATCCTGAAATTGAATTGGTTAATTGACATGCTTAATCGAGAACAGATTGTTCGGCTGATCGCCTGGGGCGCCAGGTTCGATTCGTTACAAGCGACAGAGCAAACATCAGGGTGGCACCGCTGACGTTTTCCGATTAGTCAGGCGACGCTTTGTCTTCCTCTTTCATCATTTTCGATAAATATCAGAGGTCCCCACGTCGTATACGATCGACGTATACGTCTCTTCTCGAAATTTTGCTAAATCATCGACTGTACAGCGTGAGATTCCATTCTGTGAATGGATTTAATTAATTGGAAACTGGGATTTAAAATTCACCGACTTTTTTTTGCAAATGCATTAATATATGGTACGTTATACGATAATTGTGAAAGTAGTCCGAGTCAAGAATTAAAAAAGGAATGTGTTTATCAGTTATTTCGTCTAACAATAAGCTTCAGAAATCATATTTCCTTATAGGCTACGCACAAAATTTCACAGTCATATTAAATTCTTATCTTACAAGATCAAATATTTCCTGAAATATTTTATCTCATAGTATAAAAATATTATTTATACATAATACAAAAATATTTTTTAATTTGTTCAAACGCAAACCTTGAAGTATCTCGAAACGAGAAATATATGAGTTAGGCCACTTTCATAATCACCGGTGGATTATTTTATGTATTATAGCTCATCGATACCAATATAGAGACTCTTTTACACAAAAATTAAATATTCTTTTACACGTAATATTCTTTGAAATTGTTCTTAACAAAATTGTAATCATTCGTTGTTACTTATCAGAGATTAAAAACTATTAGATAATTGATACAGAGTATTAATACATCTTTTAATATCATCATTTAAATGTAATGAATCATTTAATAAGTAATAAGATCTACAAATAGGAAACCTTTCACCTTTCTTTTAATAATTTCATATCAAATGGAATAATTAATTGGTTGAAGTTATTTAGTTGCGTAGAAACTAGATCCTAGATCTTAGTTTGTGATATAGACTCTACAATAGATCCTAGGTCTTAAGTTGTAATGTGGAATTAGATCCTAGAATTGTTTTTGTAAGTTGTTAACAATTTGTTTGCTCGTTCTACATTATAGTTATCTAGTTTAAAAAGTGTAGAAAAATAATCAAAGTTTAACAAGGAGATTTTATAATTTATTAACTAGTTAAAATTTATTTGATACTGTAAAAAAGAAACATGCATTACAATTGTTAACAAAAATAAAAGTGTTAATTTATTAGAATTACTAGTTAATAAATCATTCTCTAAAAGACTCGAAATATTCAGTATGTTCTTTATATCAATTATTTAATAATCATTTATAATCTCTGACAGATAATAATGATTGTAGTTTCATTAAGGATAATTTATAGTAATAAGTATTTCAAAAGCAAGGTTACCTCTTCAGATCTTCATCAGACAGATCGATAAATTATCGATAAATTAAAATTCGTAATAATTTAATTCGAAATAAAATCATTATCCCGGTAAAATTCTTTCCATTCTTTCCATGTTTGTTCACAATTCATCAATTAAAACTACATCTTCCCTTCCCGAGAGAAAAACAAGAGGAATAAATAACAGACAGAAAGAGAGAGATAGAGCGGGACATAGCTGCCGAGAATGAGCTGAAACTGTTGCAAATCCCGCTGGAGTCAATGAATCTATCCGTATAAATGTGCGGTGTCGGCGAACAATGAAACCGTGGCTGGAAAAAGAGACGAGGCCAAGCAACAATGGAAAAAGCGGAAAGGTACCGATACGGAGGTGGTTACGAAGGAATCTCCCAGGACGCGTCCACGATCCCCTCATTAGGTATGGAGGAGTGTAGATCTCGATTGAAATTGAGACGAATCGTTTCGTAGGGCGTCAAGATTGGCCCCCAGCCAGGGGTGGATGTTTTCTCACTGGAACGCGCAGCGTTCATTTCGAATGAAATCGACGGTGTCGAGGAAACGAAGAAGAAAAATAACGTTCTCACTATGGCGGAGGCAGCTGGATAGAAGAGGAGAGAAAAGGGGGAGAAATGGGATAGCGTAGGGTAGCTTGCACCCCTATAAAACCAGCCACCGAGTTCCGTATCGACATCACAAACCGCCGACAACGTTCCGTGATAACACCCAAACGAAACGATGATCGGTTCCGCCACGTTTCCGCCTTTCAACCGTCTTATGACCACCGCAGCCTGCGTACTGCTCTGCGTTGTCTACCTGGCGTCCTGCGTTTCCGGAGAATACGGTATGTTCCACTGATCGTGAATTGTGTAACATGTTCATCAACTTCTTGGCAATCTGTCGTGACTAGGACTTGTGAGAATAGCTCAAAAAGTAGAATCTAGAGTTTAGATTTTGGACATTTCAAATAAATATATGTATACAATGGTGATCACGAAAGTATTCGAACTTTTTTTTCATAAGAAATTTTATATACTTGCATATATATTATGTGTTACATTGTATTTATATGAAACATTTTGAAACTTCATTAACACTGTAACGAGAGATGAGTAGATTGATATAAATTATAAGATAATTATTGTAAACATATATTTAACAGAAAATTAGTATAGTCTAAGCATGTACAAATGTTAAAGATAATCTCACTGAGTATCGAAGCTTATTAATAGAATTGGTTGTTTAAGTATTCTTGTGAGGTCTGATGCGAAATATATATGCGTATTAAGTATCTTATAATTTTTACAATATATTTTCAGGTTTGTCTCAAACATGACCAATCACAATGATCAAACCTCGTTATAATGTTAATTTTCAAAATGTTTTATATAACATACATAGTACACCTATTCGTAAAAAGAATTTTTAAAAGCGTACTATGAATGATTTCCAAAAATCTGTAAATCTACAAGTGATTCCCAAAAGATTGCAGACAGAGAATACATACATATGTATACGTCGAACAGCCAATTACGTTGACGTGCATATGTATAAATTTAAAATAGTAAAACAGTATTTTTTATTTAACGTCTTCTACTTTTAATTACATATTATATGCAAATGAGTCTCAAAAAGTTATTGTTTTCGAAAGTATGTCATCATCCACTCATAAAATCCATAAAAGTTCGGGAATCACTGTTCTATTTGATTTTGACAAACATACACATACATACATATATATTTTAAAATATGTTTCTACCAACAGAGGGTAGAGATTCCTCGAGCAGCATGAGCAATGACAGAACACCTAGCAACGAATTCGGCTCGTGCACCGACGGCAAATGCATCAAACGTACTTCACAGGATATCACCAGCGGTATGTGGTTCGGTCCGCGATTGGGACGGCGACGCAGGGCAGATAGGAAACTAGAAATGAATTCTGACATTGAAACTCTTGCCAATGCACTCGATGGATCACGTTGGACCGTCATCACGATTCCAGGTATTTACCTGTTCTCCTTAGATTGCGGATTTTTGAAACGCAAAATATCCAAAGCTTGTATTAAACAGTCAACGTTCTGCTTCTTTTAATTATATGCTGAAAAATATGAAAAATATGAATGGAAAAATCTGTAATCTACTTATTATTACTCGAAATCTGTTTCTCAAAAAAGCTAAGAATAAAAAATTGTAGCTGTTTACTTTATTCGCTGAAATATTATAATATATTCTTGACTGATTTGACAATAGAATAGATATATCGTATATTGTAATCCATAAAAATGAAACAAATTGAAGATATGCGATAAATCTTTTTCCCCCGAATAAAATATCTTTGACTGCCCAATTCCTTCCAAGATATAATTTATTTCAAAACGAACTTTTTTTTTTAATTCGGTTTGTAATTTTGAAATGTTAAATCTCGACAAGTCTCGTTGTTTGGTAATCTTTCGAAAAGTTATATTAGAACATTATATGATAATGTGTCAAAAGAGTTAAATACAAAACAAAACAATAATCACTTGATTAATTGTGTGATTCGAAGGAATTAGGAATTCTTTTCTTAGACATAACAAAGAACTTACATTTCGTTATTACAATAACTTTGAAATTTTCAGGATCAGATAAACGTCAGGTAACGCAGTTCACACCCCGTTTAGGAAGAGAATCGGGCGAGGATTACTTTTCATATGGGTTTCCAAGAGATCAGGAGGAGTTGTACGCAGAGGAACAAATCTTTCCACCTTTGTTTGCACCACGTTTAGGACGTAAAGTACCCTGGACACCATCTCCAAGGCTTGGACGACAATTGCATAATATCGTTGATAAAGCTAGGCAGAATTTTGATGACACACGCTTTTAAGACTGGTTCGACTTACTGGATGATTAATAGCTAATGACATAGTGTAATTAAGACCATATTTAAGAAAATAAAAGACTTGTATTTATTTGTATTATAGTTGAAAAATGCTTGATAATCTTCCTGTTTTATTATTTTTGCACTTTTGTTCTTTCCTTTTTTCTTCGTGAAATGGTATTAATAATTTAGTAGAATCTAGATTAAATAAAGCTAAACTAAATTTAAGTTTAGGCTTAAAAGGGAATATTTAACATCGTTTTTCTTTCATTTAGTAAATGGCAGTGTTAAAAGTTGAAAAATAAAAGTATTTATATTATTTTTAAATCTAATCCTAATCGTCGGTACAAAAATAAATCCGCTGAAGCTTTTTTTTAGAATAAACAACTTCGATAGCATTATAATATAAAATATTTTTAAAAGTAAAAGAAACTTTACAGATACATAGCTGTAATTCCAAATCATAATATCTAAGTCTATATTTTATAATTTGCAAATATAAAAGTTTCTAAATCGTGACGGACAAGAAACGGAGGGGAAAAGACAAGTAAAATATTTTCGAGTTTCAGAATATGATGTAATTAAAAAATATAGTCACTAAAACCGTAGGTGTTATTCTTGTCCGGTTCCATAGTAAATGGTATACTGAAGTAAGGAGAGGCAGAAGGTTAACTTGTATCTGCTGGCTGTGTTTCTAAGCTTTATGGTTACGACCGCAGTCTACGCTGCCACATGGCCCACGGTAGTTCCGGTCGAGGAATTACACGCGTAGTTACGCTTCTCCCTTTGCCTCTTTCCTCCTTTCACCGTTGCGGCATGGAATTTAACCCTATCTCCTTGCACTCATGATTTCTTTCTATGAAAAGAAAAAAAAAAACGAAACAATCCTATTTTGGTTTTCATTTCTCCTCTTTTTCTCATTTAATTTAATACTTAAATGGAAAAAAGATCTCGGTTATTTTAACCCCTTGCGCTGGCAACTGGTTCGCGGACCATAACGAGTGACCGAACCGTATACAATAATTCGTCGCTTTCTTTTTCTCTCGAACTTGTCAGTGTGATGTCACTGGATAGAAATTATTAGGGAGCAATAAACTTAATTATTTGTTTGGCTTACATTTAAATATACTTAAAACTGAGAAAATATTGCAATTTGGGATAAAAAATTCTCGACGTGGCACGTCGTTCCAGCGCAAGAAGGTTAATGACTTCGACGCGAGGAAACAAATGAAGACCATCGATCGAAAGTTGAATAATCAATTCCAACACGTTACTAAAATTATCCTTTTTTTTTCTGATTTTGATGCTAAGTAATACAAAATTGACCGAACGTTCCTTTAAAAGCAATCCTTTAAATTGATGAAAATGAATTCGTCATACTCGTCAGAAGATTCAATGTTGTAACAACCGAACTATTTCCAGCCCCGTTTCCAGCCGACATTTCGAGACTTCCAGCTCGACGATTCTCAAGCATATCGTAAAGTTCTTTTCCCTTTTTTCTTTTCTTTCTTTTTTTTTTTTTTACGAAAAACGCGAGTTTTCGCGAAACTCTCGCGACCACCTCGCGTCGTGTGGCTTTCGCCATTTCTCTCGCTTTATTATCGTTCTGCGCGAGGAACCAATTCGGTCAGAAGTGAACGTGCCTGGCCGGAAATCCGTCCGATGGCGTTGTAATATTTCCTTGCGGAAGAGCGCGGAACAGCGGCCGTTTATCGTCCCCGAAAAGATAGAGCCGTGACAAAAAAAAAAAAAAAAAAAAAAAAAAAACAGACACGTAAATTTCCGGAGTAGTCGGGTAGGAGGGAGGGGGTGGTTTATTTACTGACCTAAAGGAAGATATCGCTTTGAAATTCAACGTTGACGTTAACGTTTCGTTGTACGCGGCACGAACGATGCGTATCGTGACGCGTAAACATGTACACATGCACACACACACACACACGCAAACAGATGCACACACGTGCATATATATATATATATATATATATATATATATATATATATATATATATATATATATATATATATATATATATATATANACCCCTTGCGCTGGCAACTGGTTCGCGGACCATAACGAGTGACCGAACCGTATACAATAATTCGTCGCTTTCTTTTTCTTTTGGACTCGTCGGTGTGATATCACTGGATAGAAATTATTAAAAAATAATAAACTTATCGTTTGTTTTGCCTGGGTTACATTTAAATATACTTAAAACTAAGAAAATGTTGCAATTTGCAGCGCAAGAGGTTAACCTTACTGAAATGATGTCGAGATAGCTTGCACTTGCGATTTTGTAAAGAAATATTAAACAAATGTGTCCAGTCCATTCTTTGAAACTTCTTAGCCTCGCTGAAGATTCAGATTTGTCAGTATTCTAAAAAAGGTCAATACAAGAAATGAGTTGAGGTAATAAATTTATTACTTATTATTTGTAAAATTCATCTCGCTTCACGACAACGCAGGGCAAAGGGAAAGACACAATATTCCATTTCGCAACTCGCTTTTTTGTCTTTTTTTGTTGTTATTATTATTATTTGATGCATTCACAAACATTACAACCTTTCTACGCATACAAGATTCGTATATCGTTCACACAACAGGTCGTTTTACCACATTTTACACCCTTATTCAAATATCCCTAGGCAATGTATTACAACTATAATATGTAAATTTTATATTTTATATATATATATATTTTTTTTCATTTTATTTTCTCTATCTTTGTTTCATTCGCACGCATACATGCAATCGCCTATCATACACATATATACGAACATGTGCACATGTCTCTTTCCGCCCATTTTTATAATAATAACAATAATATCGTATTTACACGATCGATACTTTTCGCTTCGACAGGGTCTGAAATTTCTCATTGTTGTTACGCAATATCATCGTCATAGATCGGATTATACGAAGGTGTAATCTACGCCGTCTAAATGAGCCAGAACGACAGCTAAATCTGAAAAAATACATCAGTTATTTCTATCAAACAAATAGTCCGATCATTCTCTAATTGCTTCCTGCCACCTTGTGAAACTCTATTTTATAAGTTTCTTCTTCACACGTTTCTCAAGTTATCTTGTCGCCACGGATAAATATCATTCACTTTTCTTCTTTCAATTGAAGTATAATAATATAATAGATTATCGTAATTATAGTCTTTGAGGTTACTTATCAGTTCGTCTTTCCGAACTATTGTTATAAAATTCGGAAAAATGAAACTCACAATAATAACGTGTTCCTTTAATTTATGAAACTATCTCCCTCTTTCGGTTAATTCTAATTATTAGTTCATCTATATTCCGTGTCATCTAGTCTTATATAGTCTCGTGTAAAAATTTTCAAGAGATAATCGTTGATTTAGAAAAGCTATAGTATAATGATAATCGATTGATAATTGAAGTTAATAATCGAGAATTAAAGTGTCGATAATAGACTCTTTTTCTCCAATTCATTGCATTTGTTTATTTACTTTTTTTTTTTCTTTCCTAACTTATTAATACGTACGATTATTAAGTAACTTAACTTCACGCCTATATTTGAATTAATTTCCTAGGAATCGATCCACTGGTTATTAGTTAACAACGTTGTGGCGAATAATTCACGTTTTGTTGAATAACTAATTCGGCAATGATTCATCGATTATCGCACAATCAATGATTCTTCAATCATCAATATTCTTTCTTTCATTTCTTTTTTTCACATCGTTACAAAGAAAAAACATCATAAGAATAATTATAGAAATTGAGCGAAAATCATTGAATTACAGTAAAGGGAATTCCTTTTGTAAAAAATGTCAAATATCTGCTTGGAAGAATGAAGCAACAAGGACTGAACTAAATTCTTTCATGAAACTTCGTTCAATCACCCCTAAAATCAATTACGATATCTGAATACATCAACAAATAACTCTCGTGATCGATTCTTAAAAAAGAAGAAAAGAAAGAATTTTTAATCATGATCGCCCAACCCTAAACTTACTAGTACTAGGTATAATATATTAACAATGATCTTTTTCTCACGATTACAAATAAAACGAACACGCCTGAAAAAAAAGAAAAAAAAGGGGATGAGAAATAAATGGAGTTCTCAAGATATATATGTAAATATGCTACATGTATATTACATAAATACAGGGGCCTAATTAAGAGATCAAGACACAAAAAGAAAAGGGAAAAAGAAGTGAAACTAGCGGAGGATTAACCTCTCTGCGTAAAGAAAAGATACGTTTCACAAAACAGTTTTCCTCTTTGCAATCTTCATTTTCTTCCTAACCATCCTAGCCTGTATATTCTGTGTATAATGTAATTGGTATAAATGTATAATTTTAGCCTTAATCATAAAATTAATGTTTATTAGCAATATACATGTATGTGTATATATAAGTACATATATATATACATATATACGAGCATATACATATACATATACATATATATATATATATATATATACACGTCTATAAGTAACAATATAAGAATTTGCCACATAATATAATTTTTTTTTCTTTTTTTAACCATTTACGACAGACTCCAGAATCTGGCGACATGATTCTAAAAATTATTACAACTATAAATTATTCACAACTTCCGAAATTATTATAACGATAATAATAATTATAATTATTATAACTATAAATTATTCATAGTATTCATATAAGATCGTCGTTCATTCGGAAAAGTCCTATTTTTTAATAAATAAAGTTTCTATGACATTCATTCTTTGATAATGATTTTAGGTGAAATTTTTTACTTATGATACAGAGTGGTCAATGTGATGGCTCGCTGACGGACTTAATATAATGAATTATTTTTTTTTAGAAACAAATAAAACTCGATTTATGAATGCACTGAAAAAACTAGCAGTAAGTGAAATTATTATCATCCAAATAGGTGTAGATAATAAAAAATTAAGCAAGTGTTAGTAAAAAAAATATTATCCATTTGTCACACATACTGAAATATAATCGAAATAAGAATTTACTTCGAAAACGAGAATTTACAAGATTCCCAAGTTTTGTAAGAATGCCGCAATAAATTACACTCAATCATCGTGCATACATATACTATCTGTCTTCTTCACTTCACTTAAATCGTATTTAAACATTAAATCAACAAAATGACAATAACAAAAGAGCTGCTTACGATGTACATACATATCATTTAATATAAAAATAATATGTAAACGTTTGACGCAAGAATGATGAAAAGTACAATCATGATAGACAGATCACGACCGAAGAAAATAAAATTGAAGAACGACGATCGAGTTCTAGCGCGAGAACCATTGTTACTCGTACCCTAAATTTGATTAAATCTACAATTCTATTTTCTTTTTTTGTTATAGCGATACGCTCTTTTTTTTAGTTTAGAGTAAATCACTCGTTTAAAAGATAGCTTCAACTTAATCCTACGCCGTTGTATACGAAATGGCAAAATAGACTACGAACGTATTCTATGTACATGAGAAATTCACTATTTAATTGTGGCTTCTTTCATTTATCCACAGCGTTAGTTCTTTTTCTGGCACCATTATTTTATTTTTTTTTTGTTTTTTTCTTTTTTTTTTTTTTTTTTTTTTTTTTTGTTTAGTATCCGCTTATGTTTATTTTCACGCTTACTCTCTTTCTCTCTGTTGCTTTCTGCTAATCGATCTTCGTCCGTTCGAGACTACTGTAACATCTATTTTATTTTTGTTTTTCATCGTACTCGTTTCCGGTGTTTTTATAGCAATGTGATTTATTATTTATTTTATTTTCTGTATTCATCATGATAAATTTAATCGAATTAATAGATTGCTAAAAAAAATGTTCGTTTTTATTAATACAAATATTCTTAATTTTGTAATTTTAAATAGAGACACAGAATGTCAAAAGAAGTAACAGATTAACGCTCTAAATATAAAAATGGTATATCTGAGGGAATCAAATGAAAATTTTGATGAAGCGGCTGCGAGTAAAGATAGGAATTTAATTCTAAATTTTTAATTTTCTTTGATTTCAAATAATCTTCAATTTCTGTCTTCTTTTATATACATCTTACGAATTATAAAAGGTCAGAATATCGATTGACGAAATATTTTGAAAAAGAAACTGGGAGACAAAAATATTCACAGAAGTATCAAAATTGAATTTCCATTTTCTATCACAATATCGAAGTTGCTTTGCGCATTTACGTCAATGTAAAAAATAACTTACTCTTTGAAATGTATTCATTGTAATAATGAATGATACATGATTTACAAGAAATAACATTTTGTAATCACGTAGAATTATAAAAAGATTGAATTATTTTTGTAGCAATATATACATATATATATATTACAGGAAATTCTAAATCGTGATGCACAGTTCAATATGGTGGCTAGGTTTTAATTCTAAGAATTTAATTAATGAATTTCAAGAATTTTTCTCGAGTACATGATTAAAAATAATTCTAACAAAAACATAGAGAAATGTCAGATTATGTAAAAATAATATTATCCTTTAAATACAATACAAAAAAATATTTATACGAAGCTATTTATGAAGCTATTTAAGGATGTCCCTATATTGTCTCTATTTTTAAAATAAATACAATAAAATCATACAACTATCTTTAACACGTTTCCTCAAAAAATGTTTAAAAAGTGTTCAAATTTTTGTTAAACCACGCATCCCTTTTTTGCTAAGAATAACATAATTTTTCTCAGACTTGAAAGCATTTTAAATTGCTCATTGTAAGCATAAAATTAATTTCAACGAACATAGGAACCGCTATTTAGAAATAATTAATTTTTATAATTAAAATCAAGAATTGACATGCAACTAATCACAATTTCTATATTCTCCTAATTTGTATATTTCTAACTATATAATTTAGTTAAGGAGCCGATAAATTCGTAAAATATATCACCAACTAATTATAAGTTACTGCACAGAAATTCACCGACTTGATTTAATTCTGATTCAGTGATAATTAAAGATTCGTTAGGAAGACAATGAAAGGAAGAAATAGAAAGATATAAACAACACGGGAAGCATATTTCATATTTTATACATTGGTTCAATAATATTATTTAAGAGGTCGTATCAACAGTTTTGATAAAAGTAACTTGTTCTGTTTAAGTGTCTCTTGTAGCGTAGAAAAGAAAATCATAGATATATAATTTAGAATTTCAGAGTATCGATATAATTTATGTTTCAAAATAATTTGAAAGCAAATTTGTAAATGAGAGGCTCTTGAATTTACAAGAAACATGTAACGTGTACTGTCAGTCTTTTTATATTTACTTAAATGAGCATTCTCAATGATCACAATTTTCTGTCTCCAGCACAAAATTTTTAATCAATGCTATCGACTTTTATTATTTATTGCATAAGGCAGATAAATTTTGATACACCTCAAAAACAATACTATCACGGAACTGTGAATTTATGAACACATATAAATTCACTGATTTTCTGAGATAGTAACAAAATCGATTGTCTCTCTAAAAACAAACGTGGAGAATTTCAACATGCATGATGTTTTGTTTCAGAAAGCATTCGAGTAATCAATTGATTCGTTCTATTATAAAACATTTTATACTTTGCTTTTTGTGCAAATGATTTACTTCCTACTCTCTCTTAAGCCTTCGGTAATTCGAGATATCACAATAGATAAAAAAAATTGCATTGTTTTGTCTCAGTTCATGCATTCAGACCCAACGGATTTTTCTCAGTGGCTCCTAGCTAAAGAGAACTCGGACGAAGTTCGATGTAATAATGTAACTTCAGGCACAATCAGATTTTTTTTTAAGGCCACTGAAAAACAAAAATGAAAGAAATTTCGCAGGGCATTGACATCTCAATATTGTATCTTCAATTAAATTGTTGCGAACTATTTGAATACTGTCGAATTCTTTTATTTGCTCATTGGATTGGTTATTAGTAACCGTCGCCTACCTCACGAACAACTTATACAGTAGTGTTTTGTTAACTTTATCTAATCAGATACGGAGGAAGATATATTTCTCGGAAAATTTAAGTATCTTTCTTTTCCAGTAGCTGTTAATATAAATAGCATCTATAATATTTAGCTAGAATTGATACGTGAACGATGGGAATTTGATCTCGATATATATATATATATATATACATAATTTACTCGTTTCCTTTGTGATGTGATGCTATATGATACATATGACAATTTGTAGATATGATAGCAAACTTCTGAGCAATAATGAAGATACTTTACGATTTTGTGAAATTGCGCTTACATTTAAAGAAACGACGCGAATCAATTTCTATTCCTAGAAATATAGAGAGACGTATTCACATATCGACTAGTTAGTTCAATTTCAAGCAACATTTTGTATTCTATCCAAAGAAGTGACGACCACTTCTCTTAGAGGTAATAAAATAACTGAAGTCGACATGTGAATACGTCTCTCTATATTTCTAGGGATAGAAATTGATTCGCGTCGTTTCTCTAAATGCAACTTAGTTGCTTAGGTGTAGTATGCCCTAGGTCAATGTTTCTTATCCTCATTCTATCCTCACATTAATTCAGGAAACATTGCACAAAAGTAAAACTGTTCTGAGTCTCTGTTTGAAAAAAAAAGAAAAAAAAACAAAGAACAAAGAAAACAAAAGAAACATACACGAGGTGTAAAAAAAAAAAAAAAAAAAAAAAAAAAAAAAAAAAAAAAAAACAATTCACAACTGCCTTGCTACTTCGCTGTGGAATTTTCATGAACATTAATGAGAAGGAACTTTGGTATCATTCTTTAAGAGTAAAAAAAAATACTCGAATTCAAAAATTAAAATGTTAATTCATAGTCGTACTCGAACCAACTATTGGAGTGTACGCTCTCCATAAATGAAGATAACTCGATTTCATGTGCGAGACGCAGAAGAACAGAGAGGAATGTTTAACAATAAATTCACTTTTGTTGTAAAAAAAAAAATTCAAACAATCATTCTGTGATGCAGTTTTTTTTTCAGTTATCACAATTTTACAAATGCGAAATTGTGCGATACAAGAGTATGACATTTGAAATAAAAAAAAAAGATCTCCTTTCGTAACTTCGATCATTATCTTTGCGAACAAAATGTTCACGATACATTGACTGATAATAGCGTGACTAGTATATTAAAAGACAAGAACGGATCTGCAGTGTCTCTAGGCACTTGTATGCAAGTTTAATGTCGACTTTTTTAACTCTTTCGTTAATAAGCCACAATGCGCGAAGATCGTCTACAGAGGAAACGAAATGCTCTGATTTTTGTATCTTCCAGTCGTTGGTAACAGAAATATAATATGTGTCATGTTTTTTGAAACGATAACTTTCATTCAATGACAAAAATTGTTATACGTTAAAAATAGCAGTTTTTCATACCAATAAAGCACGAAGAAACATGTCCAAATTTGAGAATATAATATTTACATTTATAATATGATACAATAAAATACTTATACTGTACGACCATTTACTAAATTGGACTTTCGACTGGAATTTCTTTCGTATCGTACAGTATTTGACATTTCCCTTTCTTCCATGAATGAGAAAGCAACGATCGTTCGAAGGAAAACTTTTGTGATAAATCTATACACTATAGAGAGATCCGTAACTTAATCTCTTTTCTCCGAAATAGGAAAATTCGCCCGAATAAATGTCTTAAGCGATCACCTGAATTTTTTGACAATACGAAATATACAACTATCATAGATTTTCTCCATGTGTTCGTTCATTCTCGTAGGCGGCTTTTTTTTTAGCGAAAATATCTTAATGGATGAACTAAGCCGAGTTTAATTCGATATTAACAAAAATAGCTGAATATTACATATATTTGTAAATACAACTTTAATGAACTACTTTAAAGTAGTGAATTTTTCTCAGGGATGAAGGTACCTTATATTTAAATATACGTAATATTACCATCTCTGTCTATATGTTTCGTTATTCTTCCGTAACGAACAACAAAGATCTGACTGATTCATCGTTTTATGTACAGAGAGTTTTGTGCTCTTTCTTTCATATAATTCTACATTTACATTCCTGAGATAGGAATACTTATTCTAAAAAAAAGAAACTCTATTTCCATATACATGGTGTATTTCTCTATTACTTTTTCAAACATGATGTTTCCTTTTCTTCGAACAAGTATTATTCCTAATTCAGGAACAACGTACATATCCATTTTAGCAAATCAAGTAAGTGCTTTTGCACTTACCCGTTTTCAAGTTGACCTCACTTTTGAGAAATCGATGTGCTATCCGTCTTGATTGTGATTGATTTCGTCTGCTTGGACTTCGAGGTCGTCTGTAAACGATCTCTGCTAGTGTTTTGAGGCTTGCCACTCACTTTCCGAGTCTTCGTACACAAACCGGAACTTTGTTTCGTGATTGTTGCTGCTGCTCTTTACTTAAATCTCGTTGATTGTTTAAAGAAAAAGAACTAGAAAATAAATCTGTTACATTGTAATAGCGTCTAAAGTTCAAACAACCGTAACTCTATTCGTATAGTATTGTTAGGGGTCTCGAGCTTCAGCCGCTATACGTTAATGAAGTATAGGTCAGAAGTGACTCCGGCAGGGTTCTCTCTGTACTCGGAGGGTTAATCGCCCAGATCCAAACGAATTGACTCTGCTACGAGGTTGTGAAAGATTTACTGAATCTACACGAGACTTTTGCGCGGCAGGATTGTTTTCAGAACTTGACGTTGGCAGTGTTACAGCACTGGAACCACCCGATAGTCGACGAACTCTGTTGGAGGGTGAAGCATCACCATCACCTGCACTTTCGGACACACTTCTGTTTCGCCTTTTTGCGGCTTGAGATCGTGAATTTGCAGCAAATGTTTGCAACATTTCATTTATTTGAGGCTGCAACATTATTGAGAACATTGGCATAATGTTACTTCATAAAACGTGATAATCTTTCGTATTTAAATAGATTTACCTCGACCACTCTAAAGTCTTCGATACTTTTAAACTTGGATAAATATTCTTGTAATTTGGGGTCTACTTGAAGTTGGTCAGAATGTTTGTAATATTTCAGAAATGCCCAGAATTTTTCTAATCCATATAATTGACCTAAAACGAGAAATAAAATATGAGTACATTGTATTCAAAATGAACAATGATTTTCTATTTAATTAATAAATGCTTGTTGCCATGTTAAATACCACACACGAGACGAAACAGTCTCATGGTATCAACTGAACATTTCATTTACTTTAGCACAGCTTAACCGTTTAGCTATCAATGATTATTATAGCTAAACAACCTAACGTGTGCATTAAATTAAATACTTTAAAAAGAAAATCACTAACCACTTTCATAATCCTGTATCGTTTCGACTTGGAAATCTTTGTACAAGTGTTGTCTAAATCTCTTCTCTAAACCATAACTATAGAATCTGAAAAGACATTCTAAACCATATCGATAACCTTCGGAAGCGTCTTCTTTGGCTACAGTCCTGAATTCTTCGTACATAGTACGATTGAAATTTTCCCGTAAAAAGAATGACCAAAAACGGAAAAGTGTATTCATCTCTTGAGATTGTCCGATTCCAAGTCTCTTGCGTTCTGAAATATCATGAAAACGATTAAAATTCGTGTATATGAACGAATTATATTTTATGTACACTAAGGTGTTCTCAGATCCGTTTTTCTCTTCATAATATGCCTCAGTCGGGAAAAGAAGACAAAAATAAAATATATCATCATTATATATACTTACATAAAGAAATATAGATCGTTTAATATAAAAATAATTTAAATATTACGAATACTAATACTAATATAAAATAATTTAATAAAAATTTATTTTACCTTTTAAGCAACGTGAATGATATTTATGGTAAACCTGCTGTGTAAAACCGTTTTCTTTTAAAAGAGCGTGACTCGGATGATGGAAAGTAGGCAATGATTGCGGTGCACTTCCGTAACTACTCGCAAGGTAACCTTCATTTGGACTTGTTCCTGTGCTACTTCTGTGGAATATAAAAAAGATAGAATTATTAAATTGTTTCATTTTTTAAAATTGGTATTCAATTCCATAGCAACATGAACTTACCCTGTAGAATAAGTACGCGGTCGATGCTCCCGAACGTCCATAATCCAACCAACATGATGTTCAACAGGAGGATTATTGCTGTGTCGTGTTTTTCGTTTACGCGGTGTTCTAGGATCTACCGAAGGTTCATCCTTTACTACCGCAAAGAAACGTGGAACTCCTCTTCTACCACTCCTACTGTCTCTTCTCGATTTATCATTCCACCGACTTCTGTCTATACGACGATCTCTTTTTTCTTGATTATCTGTAGTTGCTGATATCTGTTAATATAACGATTATATTAAATATGATTGCATTATAAACTATGAAGTAAAAGATCAATGAAATAAATGAGATTGAAATGAAAATGTACCTGTGTTGGAAGAGAATGAGACATTTCTATATCATCTATTGCAGCTGGTGGTGGAGGAGGAACTTCTGGATTAGTCTTTTTAGGCGCTTTAGGAGCCATCTTTTCAAAATCTTCTTGACTAATTACATTGACAGTTTTATAGCTTCCAATTGAAGAAGAAGATCCGTACTATAAGGAACACGATAATTTTTTTTTTTAACTTCTATATATATATACAAGAAAAATATTTTTAAAAATGGTTAACTTACTCTTTGACCGTCTTTAATCCATAAGTCTTCTTCATAGTAGTATAAACCATCATTAATAGCTTGCTCAAGATCTTGGGTCATTTTTACTCTAGTTGTCCAATCTCCAGTCCTATCATGACCCTCATGTTTTGGAATGCGTGTTGACATAGGTACTGTCGTTTGTGTAAAGATTAAAAGTTTATTGACATCTCTATCGGATAATTCATAATCTTCATCATCTTCAGACCTATAATATATCACACGTTAACTTTCATAGATACAGAATAACCTGGAAAAATGGCAATTTAAAGGTAAATAGTAAAGTAAAAAAACAATGTTGTACTAGCAATTCGTAATTTCTTTCTAAGAAGACACTAAGTTTACATCAGAATAGGAAATATTCATCTATATTTTAACTTAATCCTCCATACTAATTTGGAGATCGCTATTTTATTTTTTACTTTTTTATACCATACTTCTATTTTTTTTATAAATACTCTTAAGTTATAAACACATGTGTAGAATGAATAATACTCATAAAAACAAGATATAAACAAATAATAACATACCATTCAGAAAACGCATTGTGCCGGCCAGTTGGAGGTGGAGTATCGAGTTCCTCGTCAAATTGAAAGTCTAATTCTTCTCTCTCTTCACTTTTAACGTTATCAACTTTTTCTTTTTCTTCGCTTTTCTCCTTATGTGATGGTTTCACTCTTCGCCTTACCTAACATTTTGAACTCAGTTATCACTTATTACTAATAGTAATAACTTGTTTGAAATAGATCCACAGTTTGTGTTGCAATTTTTATACATTGACATTTCGGACAAATATTCTAATTTATTTAATCAGTAATACGATATCCTATTACATCATTTGTTATAAATTCAGTGCATTTTTTATAGTTCTAGGTAAAAAAAGTATAGTTCAATTTAAGATCTTGGATAAGTTGTTAAAGTGGAAGTGTGTTTTTTTCTGTGGATTAAAAAAACGCGAATATTTAATTTTAATGTTGGTACTGATAAGACACGAAAAAAAAATTACCTCTTTCCAAACGTCATTGACCGATTGTGATTCCCCATTGACTTGCATTTCTGGTACAGGATTTGGACTAGAACACTTTGTTGTTGCAGATGTTTTATTCTCTTGTTCTAAAGATTCATTTTTCAAGAACAGCGATGAATCGTCACTTGATGACAGTGGAAAGCTTTTTATTTTTTCCGATTGTTTTTCTATCTTGGATGGTTCGCTTTTACTATCAGACATAACAGGTTCGTTTGGTATGAATTCTGGTACATCAGGATTTAAACTATCGCCAATCGACGAGGATATGCTTTCGGATTCACTAAGCCTTCCTATTGTCGGGACAATGTTATTGGATTGAAAAACACGCGGAACTGGGGGAATAGGAATCGTTGATAAAGGTCGGGCAGCAGGACAAAAATCGGATTCAGACGTGGAGGAGAGTATTACTTCGTTTTGGGATGTATTAGAAGTATCAAACAGTTCCGACAATACAGGATTTCCAGTCGCGTCCAAAATAGGCCACTTCAAAGGATCTATTTTCGTTCTGACCTAATGAATAAAATGATAACGTTAGTCACTTGTTCTTGGAAATTATTTTAGAGATTTTGCAATAATCTCTTGAGATTGATATTTTATAAAACTAGTAAAAATAATTAATAATTGGTAACTCATATATCAATCAACTAATCGTATCAGTAAGCTTTCTAGGATGAATTTGTAAGGAGGCCTACTTTCAAACTCCATTCATTGAACTTAAATTAAGCTCGAATGGTGTCAGCGAATCCTCTTCCATTTGATCTAGCACAAGTCTTTCACCAAATACACAAAATAATGTAGGTGGATTCGAACTGTGATTTGTGCATCATTAGAATTGTGAATATATATTTGTTTTACCTTATATCCATCCACTAATTCTAATTTATCAGATTCCATAATCGCTTCAATAACAAGTCCAACATCTGTTGTTAAAGTCTGCACACGATGGAAAGAAGCAATTAAAGTAATAGGTAAAAACCCTTGTGTGTCCATCTTACGACGCAGAAAAAAGTCCCTTAAAAGATTCTCCTCACTGAAGTAATATTCTCTATAAAAATATAAATTTTATATTTAAAAAAAGGAATCGTATATTGTTTCTTTTCTGGTAATTCATCAAACTTACATTTGATTCCTTAGAAACTCCTTAAGTGTCGTTGTATTTATATTAATAAAATTTGGGTTATTGAAATAAAATGTCCCCATATAAGCCATCATATAATTAGGATCCAAAAGTCCAAATTTATGCATCTAAAAAGATATATCAATTGAAAATAATTTGTTTGAAGATTTAAAACATCTCATCTTTGTAGCAACATTTAATATCAGGTCTACTTTCGTTACTCGTCAAAGAATATTCTGAGAGATTCCCTTTCAATTTATCATCATTTTCAATGTTATTTATGTCGTTGATTATTTCTACTTTTAGTAAGAAGAATGAACGTAAAAGAACATAAAATTACCTGCATATAGACTTGGTCATGCCTTTGCCTAAAACTACCTCGATAAGCACCTCGTCCACCACGCCCTCCTCTTCCTCTATAATTTCGTCCACCTCGACCGCCTCTTGCGATGTACGCTGGTCTATCATGTTCCCTATTTCTATACAAATCTATTTCTGCTAAAAGAAAGAATTGTTAATTTAATCTGTGATGCTTAAGATCATGAAATATTTATTAAATACCTTCTCCATTCTTTTCCCTTTGATGGTGATACTTCGGAGAACGGTCTCTTTTACTTCGATTCTTCGTAATATCAATTTCCAACGGCACCCATTTTTGCTTGTTCGCTACAAAAAAAATTGTTGATGATTCAACTTAACATGATCTCTTACTGATCTTACGCTACAACAAAGAAAATAAATCAATGCTTATTACCTTTCTTTTTCTTGTCATTAATATCTACGTGTTCTTCATTATCATCTTGACAATGATTCTGCTCTTTGTTTTCCTTTCCTCTGCTGTCGACAACATTACTGCTACTTTCTTTGCCATTGCTTGGTTCAACCAAATTATTTTGCTTTTGTGTTGTCACAACTGTCTTTTTCTAAAGAAATATTTTTTTTATTTAATGATATGCAGAGAGAAAATTATATTAAGAAAGCAAATGACTGTGCAAATGCAACAAAACTTCGCGGATAACAAATATCCGCAATGAAGCCGCATTCAATTTTACTATAGCAAAATATCTACACTCACAGGTATATAGTATTATACCATACGAGTTCTAACTTTTGCATAGTTTATCTCCTCATATTGAAAGACCCAAATATAATTTTTAAGAAAATAAATTAAGTCACAGATTATAAGGAGAATGTAAGTATTATAAATCACAGATTATAAAGAGAATGTAAGTATTCAAAAAATACTTTAAAAGAACTTTAACCAACCTCTCCTGAAGCTTCTAAAGTTGGCCAATCGCCGATATCCGAGAAATCGCTCGCCTATTAAATTCAAAAAATAGATTTTAGTTATGTTTCATAAAAAGTTAATTATATTTTGAAAATAATATTTTTAATTCAAAAAAGATCTTTTTATTAAAAGAGACTGCTATATCATTACCATTAACAAATTACTACTATTTTGTCGCACGATTCGAATCGTTATACATACCTTTTGATTAAATTTTCTCCTATCCTTTGACACCGTCACAATAGTGGGATAATTTCCACCGTTGATGCCGTTTTCTGTAAAATAATTAAAAAGTACTTCATTAGAATAAAATATTAATAATAAAATTAATATCAAATTCTTCAACTGAAAATCAATTCAATATTATCACTTATAATCGGTTCGTAACTTCATAAATTATTTCTATTTCATGTTTCATCATATATCATTATTCCTATTTATAATTCTACCAAAGAAAGTACATAAAGAATTTAAGTTAAAAAAAAGTGATACTTTTATTTATTTGAGTATTTTCGTGTAAGATAAAAGAAGGCACTATATATCTTTGAGCCAACGTGTAACTCCAGTCTGTTATAATGTCTAAGCAACATATCAACTAAACAATGAGTGCATTAAAATATCTATATTTAGAATTATTACACCATTGAAAATGTTCGTGCACATTTCCAGGAGAAAAATAACACTTATATCATACATGTGAATAATAAATAGATTCTGTATCTTCGTTAAATATCAAAAAAGTTTTACAATAATTCTAATAATAATAATATAATTGCAAATAATTTTTTTATGAATAATACAACATTCTATCTGTAAATCTTCATTAGTGCTGAAATTACATTTACAATTAAAAAAAGCAATGTATATTTGTTATTTTCTTATTCGGATTTACTTATTAAAATGATACTTTTCTCTCAAATAAATTATTCTTTCTATTTTATATTTTTATAGATAATCTTCTTTTCAAATACGAATTTACTATTAATTTACTATTTACTATATTCATACTATATATGAAGAGTTTTTCAGCTTCTAAACGGACGTTGTTAACTTTATATTTTTTTAAATATAAAAAATATAAGCAAAATTTGAAACTTTATTAGATAGTTATAAGAAAAGTTTAAAGTACAAAAAGAATTGTACCACTAGATATTTATTTCAAAATGTTCATTGTCAATTTAAAGAAAAAAAAAAAAATTAAATTCGTTATTCTATATACACTAGATTCACCACCATTTATTAATATTTACTTAATATATCTTTTCTTCCATAATTGTTAATACACAAAAATCTAGCAACACAAAATTAGGTGATATTGGAGATTTGGTATTGTTCCTCTCATATTTTCCATTCATAACTTTCTAATAAAATTTTAAATTAGTTATATTTATTATATTCGTAGAATATCCTGACAAAATTGGCTAGAAGAAACTCGAATACTGTGTGTGTACATAAGTTACATGTTTGTATAAACGTAATATAATTTGAAAGACGTTTGACATCTTCGATTTCCTTATTTTCTATAAATAAGCGATACAACGTGTGCGTTAGAAATGTGCGAGCGACTTCTCGAAACACACTACACACGTTACGCAAGTGATACCCGCTGTAAATTCGTTTGTTGACCTGTTTCTGGTCGAGTCGATTTTTCGTTTGTTTCGAAAATAGGAATCAACGTGAAAGAGAAACGTGTGTCATTGTACCCCACGATTCCTGTCGCAGTTTCGATAAGGAGTAATCTGTAATAAGATACAAATAAGAACAATCTTAAATCTTGCACAACAATGCGTTAAAATAACTATTTTAGGCATTTGATACTGAAAGATTGGTTTGAGCAGAAAAACATAATGTTCGATGTTAGTTACTAGCAATGATGCTCTCTGAACATTGGATTTGAAAATCCTGATAAATCCTGAATTTCGAGTTTCTAGTGTACAAAACATTCAACGCATGTTGATTTAAATATTTTGAAATCTGAATTTCTCAAGGTCCATCGGATTTTTGAAGATTCGAGACCTATTGACATTTCGGATTTCAAATTTATTTGAGTTTTTTTTTTTTTTTTTTTTTTTTTTTTTTTTTTTTTTCATTTTTAAGTATTTCATCACAGAGAAAGTAGAAACATAAAACCGTTAAAGTAACTCGATATCTTAAAAACGTAGCCTAAACATTTCAAGCTCAGGTTGGGTCAAGATTAAGTCCTTGTAAGGACACGGAGGAAAGATTATACACGTACAAAAACCATCCTGGCCGTATTTTTCAACAAAACCTAGCCTAAAACTTCAAGCTTAGGTTGGGTCAAAGTTAAGTCATTGTAAGAACACAGAGCAAAAATTGCACAGGTACGAAAAAACATCCTGGCCGTGTTTTTCAACTCCGATTCGCAGGCGAACTGTTTACTAATTGAAATCTTGAAAACTAGTATCATTTCAGCCGGTTGGTCTCCAAATTTACTATAATACATTCAAGTTACTTTTGAATTTCTTTTTCTAATATTACTTATGGAGCGGGAATTGTGATTGATGGATCAAGTTTGGTAACTTCATTCGGATATTGCTTCGAAAAACACCTGTTTTTCTCGATCCGCAGGAGGTTTTGAGGAAGTGGAAGGATCTCCCAAATATAAAATGTTAGCTTCGAATTTTTTATTAGTACTTTCGGTACTATACATTGAATTCTGCCTATACTGACATGACAACGCTGTAATAGTCATCGTCGGTGAACATCGGAGAATTGTTTACATAATAGTGGTATGTCGGCCTCAGTACCTATAGAATGAGCCATGTAAACTCGGTAATTTGCAACATCACAAAGAAAAATTACCGGTCGTTTTCCGACATCCGAGATAATACAAACCCGACCTCGAACTTTTTTTAGCGAGCAGTGCGAAAAAAAAATAATGCCCAGAAACGAAATTATACCGATTGCAGACGAAACACCTTATAGATATTGAGGCCAATATCGCCATTGCGTCATCGGTTATTCGACACCCAGCAACTACTACAGCAAAAAACACTTGATACAGTAACATACGTATAGACAGAATTCAATGTATTGCATAAAGTTTCTCTTATTAATATATATTCGGAAACGAATAAATACCCGAAACTAAAAATTTTATATTTGAGACTCTCCTCAAAATTGTATGTCGATCGGGAACTAACGAATCGTCGTGAACATTGCAACAGTCCTTTCAGATTTAAAGCCACTCAGATAAATCTATTACGGGTTTTTCTGACGAAACTGAAGATTTTCCTTGAAGAAGGTAAGAGAAAGTTATTTATGAAAGGAGGAAAAGAGATAGGAATGGTTTGAAGTATTGATTTATAAATTGTTGTACGTTAAACTAACTACCTTGAGGTACACGGAAACACCCAGCTAAATTTATGATGGCCAGTAGTGAATAATTTGTCACGACCATTTGAATTTTCTCTTTCAAGTATCGAAAAGGTTCCAAAAATAACTGTTTGAAATGTCTCGTACAATGCAACGATCCTCCCGGGGCTCCAAAGGAAAAGCTGTCGTTCGAATACGAAAGGAAAATTGTTTCGAAGGAGAACATAAGACGATCTATGGCCTTCTACGAGACTAGAAAATTAAAACCGGATCATAATCGAAATACAGAATGGAGAGATAACAGTTACGGAACTGATACATCGATTCTGAAGGAACGAAACCGTAGCCAATATAAACTCAGAAATTGTAAATATTTTAAGCCCCTGATTCTCTTCATAATTAACAATACTTAATATCTTAGTTACTGAACGTCACTCACAGTTGGCTCATTTGTTTCTCATTGTCAGTCGAAGAGAACTGTATATACCATTGCCATATTGCCACGTATTATCAAATTTTTTTACATGGAAAAGTCTTTGATCTATCCATTCATTCAATTTCAAAACTTTAATTTATTACATAGTGTGAAGCACCGCCGGATATAAATTTTATTATTTACACTTCTTTGCACAGTTTGCATCTTGCCTTAGAGCAAGCGAAAATCTTGCCATAGCTAAGAGATTAATAGCAAATAATCGTATATGAAGAGTATATAAGAATGTCATGGTTTCGATTCCAAGAATCAATGAAAACTCACGTTGAATAGTATCGCTTCTATTTCTATTTATCTCCATCGTTCCTGTAAGGAGTCTGTTCATACGCGAAACGACTACGTCGGGAACTTGATTCTGCTCACTGAGCAGTTTCCTGTTCTTCGTCTCGTTCAAACTTTTACACAGTGTATATAAATGAAGTTTCACCTGCAACTTTTTGAGAGAAAAAGAAAAACCGTGTAGTAACTAAATTCGAAGTATAATATGATCCGCGCACTTAACACTGAGATAGTCACCTCACCTTTGAAACCGTGCAACAGGTATGCTCATACACCTTCACTCTTTGTTGGTTTTATTGTCTTTGAAGATGAAAGAGAATATATGGAAATAAAAATAATATAAATATAAATGAAAAAATAATAAAAATAGATGTCTGATCGTGTTGGAGATTTTCTTCACGAATATAGAATTAACTCGAATAGCACACTCGGAAATTTTTAAATCCCCACGCTTACACCGTGTAAAAATTTTTGGAAAAATTTATCAATATACGTATGCTTTCAAACATCTTGCTTTATAGTTATAATATTAAATGTAATTTTTTCCAGTTTTATAGTTTCTTATTTTCAAATAAATTATTTATAGAAAAAAATCTAACATCGTTTAAAAAAGTACGACGTTTCTGCCATATGCTATGAAATTATGCTATGAACCGATAACATACATAAATACAATTTACCGACGATGTTACATTTAAAAGTGACGATAAAATTTATTACTTTGAAACCGATGAAAAAAAAAAGCATTGTCGATGAACGAGTCAACTAGTATTTCTTTAACATGTAATACACGAAACGTTATTATTTTAAAATACATATTTACATATATTTTGCACTGCAATGAATAAACAATGTTTCTTCTGTTTGAGAGTTTTCTTTTAAATATATTTTACGAATAACGATGTTAGAAAATTTTTTTTACTAAAGCTGTAGCTACCCATAGCTGTAGAGCTTGAGAGTCAACGGTGCACTGAGCTACTAAGTAAAAAGAGAGAATTGAAGAGCGCTTGCAGCGATCGGCCAGGCAAGATAAAATACTGACAGCTGTTTCGTTGATCTTTTTAACATGCAAACAGCGCTAAATACAATTTTCATCAACTGACTCCTTCTGTCATTGATTAAGAAATAGACAGAACAATAATTTTACAGTCAGGACGACACAGTTTTGAAATGTGAATTTTTCTATCAATGACCCAAATTGCGTATTTTTATGCACTTGTAGGAAATCGGAAGATCCAGACAACATATAAAGATATATGAAATATCGAAAGAGGAATGCTTACTTGTTATAATATATAGCAACAAAAAGAAATTCCTGCCTATATTCCATTTCTTTTATCATGTTCATAAAAATATAAAATTACACAAAGACCCCATAAGTCTGATTATGATTAATCATTTAACGTCTGCTGTTTAAATTATTTAATATTTGACTTTACCTACGAGTGAACAGGTATCAAATTACACCGATATTCTACCCGTCTATCCGTATTTGAAAATCGAAACATGAAACATAAATTCACCACATCAATAGCTCATAATACAATCATGCTCATAGACAAACTTATCTTAAATCCACGTCAAAATAAAAATGTCAAAAGGTTTTACATATTAAGAACATATTTAAAAAAATCATCGAAATCAATGAGATCTTGTATCGGTATAATTATCAAATTGTTTTACTTGTTAAATATTGCAATGAATATTACATTTAAAATGTATGTTCTCACATCTACATCTACACAATCTGTATTTTTTTGCATCTTTCACAAATTCGTAAAGAAAATTTATTTCAATGTATTATACATATTCTATACTATTTAATTTTCAGATGATTTCAAATGACACTGGGGAAAGACTCGACAAATATATAGCGTGACTCGGTTCTATTTGATATCGTTATTGTAAAATACTGAAATTGCAAATAGTAAACTTTTTTTTTATATAGCGAGATACGCGAGAGATTGATACTTATTATAAAACACAGTAACTAGGCGGAAAAGTTTGGTGGCAACCGATTTGTTCTATTTTGTTACATCGATACCTAGGCTAACACAATAACACGCGTAAGCGCGTTCAACAGTTTCCGGTCAATTCAATACAAATCGTGAGTGTCGTACAAGGAGACTGACTAGCAACAGAGAACAGGGGGGAATGAAGGAAAACTTACTGTTAAATCTTACAGCACATCGCCCAAACTGATGTCAAAAATATATGCGAAGCTCAACGTAAAAATAAATTATTTTCCCTCTCTTTCTTAAATATCAATGCAATATATTTCATAATCACAATGAATATATTCAATGGAAGTTCTAAGTGTAGGAATCTTTAAGAAATAGGTTCATTAACATACTAACGATGTCGAATGCCACATGCAATATGTATTACATTCTTTGATGACTATAATATATTCAATTAAAACAGATCAATTATCAATGACTTTAAAAAAGGTAACTTGATATATTTATCAAAATTTTTATAATAATGAAAACCACTACTTCTAACGTTAAAATTACTGCAATTGTATTAGCTTTGATATTAATCACGTATGTTATATTATGCAATCACATTTAAAAGCAAAAGAAAATGATCTTGACATTACAACTATATTTATATTCTATTTATACAACTATTTATATTCTAATGTGGCATAACATGCATAAGGTTGAAAAGTATTTATTGGGCTCTATGATTCTTCTTTTATTGAAAATAGAAGGTCTACAACACTTAAAACAGGTTTTCCTCTCTCTACTCTCACTTTCTACGACACATTTCAATTTATGTATATCGAACAATGAAATAATGACAGAAATACAGAACTTTTTGCAATTACATCAACAGTGTAATAAGATATGACTATTATGATTGTATTGATAAAATCTGAAACTAATCTGAAGATATATATATATAAAAATTTTATTACAAAAAATTTACTGTGCATTTAATAAAAAAAATTAATACCTGCTTTTGTGATCTACGAAATAAATGTACATATTTTAAAATTTGTTTCAAGCTTCGCTAATTTAATACTAATTAGTTTACTATCTGTTCGGCCTTACCGAATATACAATGGGGATGAAATTCGTACCGTGAAGGACAAACTCATCGAGCCAGGGAAAGCAATTTTCTAATTTCTAATTTTCTCGACGATAGGGATCTCCCGTGACCATATTTCATGTCCTTCGTTACTTTGTATCTTCTATTGTAGTCATACCGGACTACCAATTCCAAGGCTCGGTAAGTTTCTTCATTGCAATGGTCCCCATCATAAAAGAACTCGAAAAAGAAATGTGAAAAATCAATTCGTCGAGCTAAGAATAAAACTTTCAGATTCACTATTTTCTCCATGGCAGAGATCTCCCTTGACCGTACTTCATGTTTTTTCCTTACTTTTACTTGTGTAGTCATGTCCGACTCTCAATTCTAAGGCTCGATAAATGTCTTTATCGCAACTTTTCTACGACATCCATAAATCCAAGAAATATTGCGAGGGACACATCCTGGGACCATTAAAAAGTGCAAATACTACTTTCTGGGACCGACCTCGCTCACATCTGGAAGCAATTAGCATACCTCCCTAATCCCGTAACCATAGGATCCACAGCTATACAAGACCAATGCACAAGGAAAATAGACAATTAATGTTTTTTGGCAATCGCGCAGTGCACACAAAAATTCCGGAGCAACCTATCAACGTACGACAATTCACGGTTCAAACTCACGACAATTCACTATCAAACTCACTCAAATCTTATCATTTTACGAATTCAAGCTTTCTCTTACGACAATCTACATTCAATTATACCAATCCAACCCTAAAACAACCAGCTGACTCCCTTGAACTAGGGATTAACGTTGAAAAACAGCAAGCCACCGATCTGCTCAACGCTCCTTATACGTCGAGGTCAGATCGGCACACTATCGTTATAATGCTACTGAGTTTACAAAATATTTCATATAATTTATATAATACATTCAAAAAAGACTTGTAGATGTAACAAAATATTATGTTAACTCTCTTTTCTCTTAGTCATGATCGCTATTTATCAAATAGATCTTAGAAAAATTCAGGAGTGAATGTCTGGATTACTGAGAAAAGCACAATACAGTTGTAATTGCATTACGTATTGTGCTCTACTATCATCCGTTTAAAAAGGAGTATCAATGTCATTGCCCTTGGCATCTTTATTGTTTGCGTGTAACTCAAATAATTCAACTGATAAATGACGATTAAATCACTGAACTTGCTAGATTTTTCACAATATGAAGTGATGATCAATTGGATTCAGCTACAATGTTATTAATTTTTTTTTTTAAGATATTTACACTGAAAATCTATAGATTTAAAAAACATTATCTAGATGACCTAGGTCAGCCTCGATTATTGAAAGTTTTAAACTGCAAGATATATTTTTGTTTAGAAATATATCTTTCCTTATTCGTTAGTTTCTTTTTCTTTGTTTGACAAGTGTAATTTTAAAAAGTTACCACATGTTGAAATAAACACAATATTCATAATAGTATTAAATAACAAATATATGTTATCAGTGCATATATCTTTCAATGCATCAATATAAATTAACAAGTTTCAACAACTTGTTAAAAAGCTTGTTGTTTTCAATAATATGTACACTTGTACTAACCAGTTAATTCACACACCAGTTCGCCATATTGTACATTTACTTTCAAACTACATTGTATCTTTATTACTAATCATTCGATCGGTATTTTGTTATTCTATTTCCAAGACTGTAATAAACTTGCTAATTAATCTTATTAACAAATACAGCTCCAACAGCTACGTATGCATCTTTATTCTAACTATTTGTTTTTATAAACAGCTTCGTTTTATTTTAATCATACTATTAATAATTCAATTCCTTTCTATTTTATACTTAGCTCTCTTTCGTAATATAAACTGTAAATAACTTCCCGTTGATTAATATTATTACAATGACACATAGCATTGTTTTGTAATATATTGTACGCAATGTTTATAATTTTCTTAAAATTTTATCTAGCTCAATATTAGTAAATTCTTTTCTTATCCTTTGCTTCTATTTTTATTTACTTTCCTGTCTCTTGTTCTAATATTTTCAATTTAAATAACATATTTTTTAAATAAATGAGCTTATCTATTTTCTAAATAAATTAACTAACTAATGTGTCATATTATTTCAAGTATTATCTGTACTGTACAATGTTGGACCAAGTGATCGAAAGTTCTACGAAGCAGAGAAAGGATCGTATGGAAAGGGGATCAAAAATTTGTTATGCAAATGAAGAAAGACTATAGATGACATTTGTGATTCGATTGCCAACATCATTCTCTTGCCACGTATGCTCAAGACTTGTCAATATAATAGTGTGGAGATAACAATCGAATCGACCATTTAAAATTCCCTATTATCGTTTTAATGATCGCACACCTGAATTACCGACGTATGTAAGGTTTACTTATTGTTCTTACATGAAGCGGTAGTATTTTTCCCTAAATAATGTAACAATTGACTAAACATTATAAAAAGCTGTTGCATTATATACTGAAATTTGTTCACTTCTGCTAACAAAAGGTATTATTTAAGAATATCGCGTCAGACACGGTAAATTTGCAACTTTTACAAAAGCCATGTACAGATTATTATTTGCTTTTTTAATATATTACTTCTATGATTAATCTGTCTCATTAAATTATACTTTATTCCTAGTCAGGTACTTCCTCAATAATTTCATTCTTTTAAAAACTGTAAAGCTACTCAATATCTACAAAAACAAAAATGTATTACACAAGAATTGTAAGATTAATCGCGCATAATGCTTGTAATTAAATATCTGTAACTATTTTTAAATTTGACGTATTATATGTACGTATGAATTTTCATTTTCTACATCAAAATAAGAAAATCAAATAATTTTCTTTCAATTTCTCCTTGAATTTTTAAGTAACAATATATATCAGTTTTTTTCGATACTTTTCATAAATTGAATCCGCAAAGCACATTCTATAAATAAGATTTTTTAAATTATATGTAGACGTTCGTACATTCGTCGATAAAGTTTTGTTTGCAAGTTAGTTCTTTTGGACGAATCATTAAATTTAACTTTTGAAAAATACATTTTACACCGAGTTACATTATATCAAGTGTTACATACGATGCCAAAATTTTTTTTTTTAAGATAAATGTTAATCTATTTCTTAAAATATAATGTGTACTTCTTGTGCAAAGATCTATTCTATTTTCAGTCGCAATTTCATCGAAAATGACCCGAAGCATGACGATATAACGGGGTTAATTACAAGAGATCAAAATGGTGTTTATTGACTTTCGTGGAGTTTCTTGATTAAAAGCATAAAAATGTCCACTTTATTACTACTCTTTTGCTTTATTACAATGACTTATCAATAACCGCATGGTTTGTCCACATGTCGATTGTATCAAGATTATTGTGCACTATTATTGTGCGATAAATATGATTGTTAAGAAAAATATGTAACTAACTTAGATCCACAATGTTATTACAAATATTTCGCGAATTATTAAATTGAGCATATAATCGATCACATTATCAAGAATTCGCTGCTTTTTAAAATTTTAACAAAAAAATAATCATTTTAAAAATCCTGATGACCTTGATATCTTATCAACAAGCAAGTTACTAGGTAAGGAAATACATTTCGGCATCATTTATCACTTCTGACACGATGTTATCTTTTTGAAAAATGTTTTTCTTTATCTTTTTTAAAAATGTGTTTGTGGAATAAGCTATTTAGAAATTTTGAGCGAACAAGTTCTAAAAATTTATATAGCAGCATTTAATAAATAGTAAATATTTCTCAAAAATATTTATTTGCTAATTTAAAAAATTGTTTTAATGAGGTATTAAAAAATTCTTGTATCATAAGTACTATTACATAATAGTAATTGTGGAAATTATGAGTCTTCCCCAAATATTTCGTTTCTTTTATCAGTACCTTTGAAAAGATGCATGCTTCTATATATGTACTCTAACTAGATAAGAATTTCTTTCATCATATGTATAAAGTACACGATCATCGTAAGATAAAAAGAAATTTATAAAAATTGAATAATCTTTATATTTCCACAATCAATATCGTTAAAAAATTTCAGCAATTATTTATACAGTAATCTTATCCACAATATTTAATCACAACAAATTTGACTTAATTATAACTTAATATTCTCAGAATTTAAAAAAAAGATAAACAAGATGAAGATACTTTTGTAGTTCTTTCAAAGCCATACAATATGTTTAAAATATAACAATGTTGAAATTCATTAAAAAAGTCATTCTATTTTATCACATCAATTATGAGATAATATATTACATATACTTTGTATTTTTAATTTTGTGCAGACTTTGAGAATGTAATAAGTATATGTATATATATGTAATATAAATATTTTCAAATATAAATGTATATATAGACACTCACCAACAATTCCTTGCTGCTGTTGAGGTTGAAGTACTCTCTTTTCCTTCTCAATTTGCTTCTCTACGGACACTACAGTTGCTGACGGTATAGCAGCAAAATTTGTAGATGTAACTGGTGGTGCAATTTTACTTTTGGTCCAAGGATTGATTGCAGGTAAAGGAGCTTCCACGTATTTGACAGAAGTTGAAGACTGAATTTGTGACTCTGCCTCTGGTTCTTCCTTGTCCTTCGAAACATCCTTACTTGTCACAACGTGGTCCATACTTCCTTTGTCTCCACGATCTCGCTCTTTATATCCTCTTTCATTACTTCTAGTGTGGCCACGAAGAGGATGTCTGTGATCACGATATCTCTGTCTTTCCCTAAATTCTCGCTGCTGTTCTCGTAACTTCTCTTTCCTCCTAGCACTTTTTGGCGCTACTGTTTGGAATTCTCCATCACTCCCAATGTCGCCATTCAGTTGTTCAACGACAGTTTCCGACTGTTGCTCAACTAAATTCTCCTTCCAAGTAACCAACTGATTCTGTTCAACAGTAGGCAATTCATTTTCATAATGTTTCTCAATTTTACTCTGCGGATTGACTCTTCTTCCAGTTCTTTGAGAAGACTTCCCCTTGGCAGTTAAACTCTGAGAACCGATGCGATCCCTGATGGGCATAGCTTGCTGCTGAACCATTTGACCGCTTATATTTTCCTTGTTGTTACCCTTATTAGCAACCCGGGTGTCATTGCCGCTTTTTGGATTCAAGATACTTGCATAAGAGACTCCGGGGCCCTGTTCTCTCTGGGTACTTCCCTGAGTACCACTGGCCACCTTGGCCGCCATTTTGAATAGTACGCGCCGAAAGACAAAACACGAGGCCCGAACACGAGGAACTTGGTTAGAAAAGATTTCACGATGTTCAGCTCCTTCTCAGGCGGTTGACGGGTCCTGAGGAACGTTAAACACCCTCGAACACATCAATCTAATCGAGCAATCTCGTAGTCCGATCGGAGATTCAAGATGTTTCGTGTTGATTGGGCTTTTAAAACATCAGTCCAAGGGTGCCCTTCATATTACGAACTGGACACATGTTTTCTTCTTCTTCAAATTCGCGCCTGACGAGACACGTACATGTTAAATTTAACAGACATTCGTGTTAAATTTAACTCGAGCGAAGAACGTCAGTCGTTGCTGGTTTCTCTGTTAATGAGTAGAACACCTACTCGTCACGAGGGATCGCTCTTTCCAGAAGGCGCGGCAGGTACACGCGGTCGTTACCGAATACCTGACACAATGTCTCTTCTTTACCTTCTACCTGCTATTTTAATTCAATCGCCCTTTAAAAATTCGGCCGACGAAAATTTTTCGAGAAAATGTATCTTTATCGCGATCTTATCTAGCGTGCGATGAATCTTCGACACATGTACACGAGGTGGTAGGCTGCGTGGTTAAGAACACGCTGACTCGGCGATTTCACTGGACGAACGAAAATCAGCCGGTACAAATATTTCTCTGACTGACGATGAATAATTAAACGATTTAGTCTACCTTCTTTACAGATGATACGCAGGTGCAAACAATACGTGCCGAGCGGAAAGGAAGAAGTTCGAGCAGATAACCAGCGTACACCTTGTTAGTACAAGTAATTTTTCTTCTTTGCGTTCTTCTTTTATATCTTGCGGTTATTTCCTAGCTTGTTTGACGAACAGGCTAATAATTTTGTCACAACAGCAAGCGAGTTCAGGAGCACCGTTCCAACGTCACGTTACCACGGATTACGTAAACACAGCATTTTCGGCGATCTTTTTTCTACAGAAAAGCGGTCTGCAAAACACATGTGGCCAACGCTTGCTCTGGCCTTTGTACGAGTGACTACACAGTTTCCGGTTTAATCGATTCTACTAGTCAGCCCTGTAGATAGCACCACTGTATTTCCTATTTCATTAATGCCCGCGCAATTTAAATTAACTCTTGTGGGATTACGAAATAAAAACATTAGAGAAAAAGTATACTGTATTATTCGAATTTTTTGTCCTATTACCTCCGAGTCTTCTATCCATATTTAAAAGTACTTTTATTAAATTAATATTCAATATAATTTATTTCCTATATGCTTATTTACAGCAATAATATGCGGAGTAAACAATAATATTTCATATTATTTTGTTCTTTGTAAACTTTTATACAGATAACATAATACAGACAAACAATAAAACAGATAGTTTATTCTTTTGTAGATTATATTACAATTCATTTGCATTTATAAAATATATCTTTAGTCTTCTCTTTACATATTAGTCTTTTTGTTTTATCAACATTTTGTACATTGCATCATATAAAAAATAGTGTCTATTCACATGCATGATTATCTCTCCTTGGTCTTTTAATTCATAAAACGGAAATGAAGTAAAAATTGTAAAATATTTAAAAAATAGTTTAAATATATCCTTAATAGTATCACAAATAAATAAAATTCCACTTCAAAAATAACTGCTTGTTTTAAAAATATCTTTAGATTTATCTAAATTTTAAACATTTGCTAAAATTACGTATGTATATATTAGCTGGTTTGTACAGGATATTTCTTCATTGATCGTTCAAATGCTTCTACTATAGTAGATCTGAAAATAATAAACAAATTAACTATAAATCAAAACTATAAATAATAGTTAAGAGACAGTATTTAGAGTATTTAATATACAGAGTGTTACATTTAACGCGAAAAATAATGGTTGCAAATGTTTTACGAGTAATATCTTATAACGAATATCATATTATATTATACATATCATACTATGCAGTAAAGACATTCCATTAATTTATGGCTTTATTTCAATGTAACAGGTCGAATTTGTCTCTATAATATAATATATAATATAATATATGAAACAATAATAGTATAATACAGTATCTAACAGTCGCTATAATATTATGAATAAAAAAAAAATTTAGAGTTTTATTTGAAAAAATTAATTTGATCTTGAAATCTTACTCGTTTCCATTGCTCCACCAACAAAAAAATATTTATACCCCTTTATATAAAAATAACTTTTGTAGGAATTTTTTTTTTATAATTTCAATCCCTTACTGAATGTTTCACTATTTGCATTTACATGCAACACTCTGAATGTATGTTTGTATATAATATAATACATGATAAGATATATTTGCATACCTAAATACTTTTTGATGAAGAAGATACGCGGACACATGTCCAGCGTCTATATATCGAATTTCAGCTCCTGGCCAGATTTTTTCCAAACTCATACAATCATCGCGCGGTACATACGCATCATTCCTTGCGCAAACAGCAATAATCAACTCGGTATCAACCGGCACTTCGAAATTCTTTAAATGCGTACATTCATCCATTATTCCACACATAAATTGCAATGCTTCTCGTTCGCGCCATTTGCAATCCGAAAATAATGGATGTCTTGGAACTGGTAACATACAAACACCTATTGCCAAAACAATATATGCGATAATCATACTTCTACCAAACCGTGCATTTTTGAAGTTAGTATTTAAAACTAACAAATAAAAATACTTATTGTCAATATAAGTATTTATTAACAAATTGCAATTATTAGTAATATAAGTATCTATTAATAAGTTAAATATTGGTAAAAATCGCTTGAATGTGAGAAAAGAATAAAATTAGCATTCAGAATTATTGAATTTTGGGACAACAAATGCATACATTAATCCTGTTTTAATTTTATGTTGGATTAGTATACCACTTTTCAATACATCTGAATATAAACTATAGAAGTTTTTTGTAAAAAGAGCAATACATCATTTTAGATAATATGTTACAAATATACATACGAACGTTGTCTACCTTTCATTGTATTTGCATCTTTTAACTTTAATTTATTAGATAAAATATTTAAAGGAAATATCCTTGCTGCTTTTTCCTCAGCAATTTGATTCTTCAGAGTATTGTCTTGGTTTTGTAACTCGCTATTACTATATTCTTTATTATTAATCACAGTTTCAGTGGCAGTTGTAGTACATACTTCTTTAGTAGTATCATCAGACATTTCTTTTAATTCATTGATTCTTTTCATGCTGGAAGGATAATGCTGTGCAAAATGTTGACCAGCTAAAAACGCATCCTAGAAAATGAAATTTTTTTTTTGTGGTTGTATTTAAAAGTCTGATTGATTAATGATTACTCACTTACTTCTTTACCTATAATTTTCACCATTTTGGCGAGATCATTTTGATATAGTTCATTTGCAAAATATTGATTTTCTAAAAGCGTCCAATTAATCGAAGCGCTCATTACTCCTTGGGTAAATACTGGTGATGCTGTTGACCATGAAAGACAAGGGATTAGTGGAATTGGTTTTGGCCAGTTGGTTGCTGCTAATGAAGCCATCTAAATAAATCAATAAATCAATATGCATTGTTGATGTTTACTATGAAATAATTTAATTTACTGATATTATTGACCGCCCTAAAATTAAAATAAAATGAAAAAATACGAACATGACCACCCATTGATAAACCTGTCAGTCCTAAAGGTGCAAAACCTTGTTGCTCACACCAATTTAGTAAAACAATTGATTCCATTATTAAGCATCCTCCCATTACAAAGATGTCACAGACATTATGTAAACAAGATCGTCTATAAACCAGATATATATTAATATATAAATATGTATTTGTTTTACAATACAATATATTTTTAGTGCTACAAACCTTCTGAATACAAATTCTTACATTTGATTCTGTGGTTTCCTTGAACCATAAAATGGGTTTTCTACTAACAAAGATGCAATTCCTGATTCCTTTAGAAGAGGTTTGGCAATTAGATTTCTCCTTCTCCAAAAGAACTGAAATTATATCATCGATTGATTCGAGCTTTATATTTTTAGAAAAGAATATTATAATTCTGATTAAAAAATAGTCTACGTACATGATCTCCTGTCCCAGCAAGGTGTAAACAAATAGGCTTTATTTTATGAGAATACCATTTACGTGGTAAAACCAATTGAAAATGTGAAGTTATTGTCTCATAAGGCATTATATTAGGGAGATGTTTGTTAAATGGACTTTCAAAATTTCCCTCAATAATATGACAATCTGACCATTCTTCATCCTATTTAAATATGTACAAGCATTGCAAATATTATATGTATTATATCTCTTATAAAATAATTATAATTTTAAAATATTTATATCACATACTTTAGTTATATTGATTGGATAATCACGAGGTATAAGTTCATAACATGTTTTTCTATTGGCAAGGGCTTTTCTAAATTCGAAAATCCTAAAATATAAATTTTGCAATTAATAACTTCATAACTTATGAATTTTATAATTTTATAAGTTATAAGTATACATTCACATTATTTTAATTCAAGTTTTAAAGTGCATCATTCTTGTTCATTTGTTTTCTAAATATTAAATATTATTATTTTCATTCATTAAAATATTATTATTATTATATACATAATATTATTATTTTCAGTCATTAAAATATTATTATTATTATTATATACATAATATTATTATTTTCATTCAGACAAAACAATTATCAGATTTATTTAAAAAAAAAAGAAAAATATCGACATTATAATAATGTTTTCCATTTTTCCATATGTACAGTCCGGGCATTGAACATTCTCGAACACAGTGCGTACGTTCAAAACTTGACTTTGAAATAGAATTTTCAAGGTTACAATTTACTCTTACCTCTTAAGATTTTCGGGACTACCCCAACCTTTTGTGAAAAATTTAGTCAATAGAATACTCCTGTAAACGGCGTCCAGACGGCTTCGCGGCATTACGAATACTTAATTTCCAAATTTTTCTAATTTTTACTACCGATAAAAAAATTTATTGGCAAAGAATAAATTCCACCAGGATACTTGTTATCCAATTTGTAACCTGATAATTTAGATACTTAGAAAGGTAGCACGAATACTACCATGTCGTAATTCTTAAAACGTTATTAACAATGTGGACATTGTTCTTGAACTGGTTGCGAACTTGCCGCGGTTGATTATATCTTAGATATAGCAATCAGGCGATGGAAATGATCGGATTAGGTGACGTGCTGCGAATATATCGCGTATGAACATCCGCTTCTCGCATCTTCACCTTTAGTACGGATACAATTACAATTTCGACAAATAAGTTCCTTAAATAACAACCATTCATGAGAGGACGTAATCGTCCGTTTCGTTACGTATTTACGTATGTTAATTCTCAATCCCAATTAAGATGCGCTGGTAACAAAAATTCAATAAAGTCTTCGCGATTTCCAATTTAAGTTTGCCAACAAACAGGCGCCATCTGTTGATAACCTATTTTTTTTCAATGGACAATAGTTGATAATGAATAAACGAAACAGGTATAAGATTATACAATCTTTTGTCTAAATACAATCTCTTTTCATAAAAAAAAATAAGTAAATTATCGTACAGTGTTAACAGAAGTATTAAAAAGAGAATTCAAAAGAATTACAAATTTCAGAATGCTAATAACTTATATACTTATTACATTGATAAACAATGTCTTCATTGTTGATAAATCGTAAAGAATTTAGATTTATAATAAAAATTTAATTTCTATTCTGTACGAGTAATTTTTGTAAATATGATTAGCATAAATGTATGATTACGACATTGATATATCTGACTTTGATTACAAAAAAGCAAAGTTGCATAAAGGATTTGAACTTTTGGGCAATATTGGTTTAAACGTCAGGTTCATGACCTGTCCTGACTTGTTTGTTCAAACGACGAGGTATATGACGAGATGTCTGTGGTTGAAATCTTGTCCTTGGATACATTTAAACATGCCTTTACGTTCAAATAATTTTATTTTATTGAAAACTTTATTTGAACGTCAATTATTTCTATAAATATATATTGCAATTCTATTATGTACTGTAATATTACAAATAATATGAGATGTTAAAAGTTTAAAAATTGTCAAATCTTGCACGATTCATAATGCATCGAATATTAAGTTCATAACTCGTAATTCATGGTTAAAGTTAGGCTGAGGTAAAACATATAACATGTAAATAATTACTGTATATTCAATTTATGTATATATTTGCATGTTATTTGTTCATCCACTTAAGTGACAATTTATTGAGAAAGAAATAGTCAATTATAAATAAAAAAGCTCGTATTATTTTAAACTAGTAATTAATAAAAATGTCCACTTCTCGTGTTGACGAGCTAATCAATTATTTCAAATCACACAACAAAATTCGAGAACAACAAAGCCACTCTGCCAAAGTACATAGTGTAGGATGGAGTTGTGACGGGAAGCTGTTGGCTTCAGGATCTTTTGATAAATCTGTTTGCATTTTCTCTCTCTGTCCGGATCGTTTAGTAAGTAAATCTAACCAAAACGTCAATCTTCTCTATTGCGATTTTTGTGTATTGTTTCTTTATTTAATATTGAATTTTGATAAATGTTTACTTTAATAATGATTAATGTGAAATGTGAAATGGGCAGTTATCTTGTTTTGATAATTTTATTGTCTATAACTATTTCAAATTGCACTCAAAACATCTTTCTATGTTTATTAGAAACAAGAAACAACTTTCAGAGGACACGGTGGTAGTGTGGATCAATTATGCTGGCACGCCTTTTATCCAGAATTATTGTCCACTGCAAGTGGAGACAAGACAGTACGTATATGGGATACAAGAACTCAGAAATGCACAGCAAACATCAGTACAAGAGGTGAAAATATCAATATATCATGGTCACCAGATGGTAATACAATAGCAGTGGGAAACAAGGAAGATTTAGTGACTTTCATTGATGCACGAGTGATGAAGATCCGTGCCGAGGAACAGTTTAACTTTGAAGTGAATGAAATTTCATGGAACAAGGATTCTGATACATTTTACCTAACTAATGGTCAAGGTTGTGTTCACATACTTAGTTATCCAGATTTAGAATTGTTACATGTAATTAAGGCGCATCCAGGGACATGTATTTGTATAGAGTTTGATCCCACTGGAAGATATTTTGCAACTGGCTCAGCAGATGCATTGGTTTCTTTATGGGATGCGGATGAGTTGTGTTGTTTAAGAACATTTTCACGATTAGAGTGGCCAGTGAGAACTATATCATTTTCTTATGATGGACAATTATTGGCTGCAGCATCCGAGGATCTTGTGATAGATATAGGCGAAGTTGAAACTGGAGAAAAAATTGCAGATATACCAGTAGAGGCAGCAACCTTTACAGTAGCGTGGCATCCAAAACAATATTTGTTAGCATACGCATGTGATGACAAAGATACTTATGACAGAAAACGTGATGCTGGCAGTTTAAAAGTATTTGGATTTGCCAATGATTAAAATAATATTTTTAGACTTTTATATAAAAATATATTACTGTGCAAAAAAGAAAATGATTCAAATTTGATCTTTGTACCTGCCCTAACAATTTTTTACATGTCTTAAATTATTATTATAATTATATATTGTATATTGAAAGTTGTATATTGTATATTAGAAAATTCAAATAATCTTTTTTATAAATATATATTACATTTAGACATAATTATTAAACTAGTGCATTAATTAAGTACAATTTGTTTGACATAATATATATATATATATATATGTGTGTGTGTGTGTATGTATATATAATCTTTGATAACATTCAACTAAAGATTCTGAACATTTTGTTTTCTTATTTCGTTGCTATGGTAACTTAAACTTATATGTCATAATTGTTTCTTAACCTGAAAATACCATCGAATCAATTTTATACTATTATTAGTCTAATCTTTTATTATAGAAATTTTTATATTTTCTATGTCATGCCTAGAAGAAACCCAGTCTGATTGTAAATGTCAGTACACATTAATGTTGACAAATGAAATAGTTCATGAGCAATTTTCTGAAATGAAAGACAGTTTCAATCATGTGCCCAGCATTCATGAGGTGGATGAAGAAGAAACTGATGAAGAAGAAACCTCTGATCAAGAGTCAAAAACTCCCATCCTGCAAGATATTGAACAACCTGCAGATTTAATAAAGAGCACTATAGATGAGGATTCCATTTATAGCAATGATTCATTTTGTTCTGACGAGTCTGAGAATGAATCTGATGGAACTAATACAACATCAAAATCTCTTAATGAGTCTCATCTTTCTTCTAGAATTGCTATCTATGCATGTAACCAAAAGGATAGTAAAAGTGAAGAAGAAAGATTTGAAAATATAGTACAAAAAAATGAAATTACAGACTCAGTTTGCTATAGAAGTTCAATATCTGAAGATTGTTCTGTAAAAATCAGACAAATAAAGAACAGAAGAAAGAATATGAGTTTTACAGATGAAGAAATACGAAAGATTGAATGGGAAAATCAGATTCTCTTGAGAAAGATAATGGCACAACAAAAATCAAAAGAAAAGATACTTCATGAGAGTATTCCACCAACACAAATAAGCAGCTCTGCAATAAATAGAAAAAGATTACAAAAAAAAATAGAAAATGAAAATATAGTATGTAATAAATAAATATATTTAAAAGTAATTAATTATGGAATAAATTAATGAAATATAATATTTAAATTTACAGCTACTTTTGCAAAGGATACAACAAACTAAATCACGTGTTATGAACAATATACTAAAACCTGGTTGCAGACAGACGATTTTATAATCTGTAACAATAATTTTTATACATCTTAGATTAATAAAATATTTATGATTGATGTTCTACTATATATTAAGTATCTATAATACAAACCTTATAATTATAATTTTTTTTTTATCATAAAATAAAGTTTCGACTATTAAAATTTTAAAATTACAAAAGAGAGATGTAAAATTTCCTAAATATATTTTATCAATTTTGTAATAAAACACGTTTAATTTTATCTTAGACAAGTTTTACCTTTTTTTTATAAATAATTAAATATTTTAATAAGTTACTTTCTTTAAAACATATTATTTATAAAAATAAGATTCAAATGATTAAAACACAGCAATTACCAGTCTTGAAGAGTAGGTACACATTTTTATTTTGTTTTGTATACATCACAACTTTGTAAAATATCTTGAAAACTTACCAATGAAATTTCTACAAGTCAAGACTATAAAAATCACAGTTCTTACTCGTTCCAAATAATTTAATTATGACCTTCTTTTTTTGCGACACATCAAGACCAATATGTGTAGAAAATTAAAAAAAAAAAAAATCAATAAACTAGAAACTCTTATTTTTATGTATCCACTTCTTTGATTGATTTATGTTTCGATTAGCAAAATTTTAATTCAGACTTTGGTTCGACATTTTAACTCAATATTATTAAAAAAAATGTATGATTTTGAATTAATAATGAAAATTTCAATGTCATGCTAAAACACCAATATATAATATAAATCGATAAATGACAACGTAAAAATTTAACGAATATGAAACAATTTTGCCCTAATTATTATTATGCGAGGTACTATTTAACAACATATCACAAATACGTGAAACATGAATAATAACAAAAACCAGCCTGTAGCTTAAGCGTTATCAATCATGAAAGGTGTTGCTAATAAATACATTATTACTTTCCATATTAGAAAAAAAATTGCTTTAACCAGGTCTAGATATCACAAGATACAATATCGAAAATTTTTGGAAACGAGATTAGTCTTCGTGCTTTTTCTTCCAAGACTCTGAGGATGATGGTGTCCATATTGTACTGAGTGAACGAAATGGATCGAAACCTGACCTCTCCTAAAATAATATTTCAAAAAGTTCAATATAAAATCCAGATAAACATGTAAATAAAAAAATGATTTTCTTACTTGTGTATCTGATTCTGTTTGTAATGAAGATAATTGTGAAACAACAGGTGGTGCAGCTGCACCCCATGGACCTGCAGCCCATACACCACCTGTATTTATTCCCCAGACACCACTTCTTTCTTCTCCTACTGCTGCTCTAGTATACAAAGGTTCCCAATTTGTTTCAACAGTTACCCAATTATCTGTAAATTCAAGTTTATGACATTTTATGTAATTCTAATTATTATATATTACGTAATAATAAAAAAAATTTATCATTTATATAAAATTTTTACCCTTTAATGTATCCGTTAACATTGGAGGTTTCTCTGAGGACTTTGGTGATTCTAACTGAAATCCACTTGTACTATTGGACAGTAATTTAAGCATAGGATTATTATCTTCCCATAACTGACACCGTGTGTCTTCTTCGGGACTTTCTAATTCCATTAACGGTTCATCGGTTTCTGGAAGATCGTCATATGGAACTAATTCACGTTCGAACTGAAAAGAAGTTTCAATTGAATTGTAATCGAAGAAATATTAATAAAACAAGTTAAATTATTTTTTAACGTACCGGTGGTTCCGCAAAGGCATTTATGAAATAACTATTTGAATGTTGCGAATTATTCTGCATCTTCAAAGAATCCTGACCAAGTGGCTTTTCTTTTTCTATAGACTGAACACAGAGAGACGGAGATTTTGATACCATTCTGTATTCCTTCGTACTCTGCATTAATTCTTGACTCGATTGTTGTTTAATATAATCTATATCTTTGGTGTCGTTATTGAAGACCATTGACATATTATGCGTAGGCGTTTGAGTTTTGTGTAATTTATTTAAATTTGAGAACGGTGAGATATTCTCTTGATTTCGTGCTACGACATCACTAAACCTAGCTCGATTTTCACCCCAACACGACGGTGGTGGTGGCAACGGAGCGGAAACAATACCCAGTGTACGCGTTGAATCTTCCCTTTGGCTAGTATTCCCATTCAATGTTGTTGCTGAAATAAAAATAATTAAAAAGTTAATGATCAACAATTAATAAAATCAAATAAAAAAATTTAAAGATTCTGTTTACTTTTTATGTGTCCCTTATCAATGCCTCGACGTTTCTGAGATCCTTTATCCTTCCTAGGAGGATTTTTATTCTGCCGAGGTAGCTTGAAGGATGATTCAACAGTACGGGTTGTATGAATATGATGTTTCATGGTAGACCTTGTATTTGTTTTCCATCTGTTTGGATTATTATGTCTTTCTTTATCATATTCATCGTCATCACAGTCACCTTCATAATTATCTCTATAATCTACGCATGGCACAGAAGCAATTGATTGAGGCTTAGTTTTTTTGGTTGCAGGTTTTCTTTGTAGTTTATCAGATTTTCCACAAGATTGATCGAAATTCTGTAATAAATAAATATTTATTATAAAATTGATTTCGTAATTTATAAAATGGATTTCGAATTCATTGTTCGATTAAAATTCTCACCTTACATAACGGTGGATCATCTTGAACAGAACTTTCGGTTGTTGTAGATGACGTTTCTTCTTCTGAAAGATGCACGTTCCTCTGATTACTATTCGGTTCAAATTTTTTGAAGGATACGTGATTGTTATTGCTATTTCCAATTGCAGTTTGTTTTCTTTTACTATCTATCTTATTATTTCGAGTACTATTAAGAAGTCCCGTATCAACTTGAACTTCATGATCGACCAACTTTGTCTCCGTCTTAACGTTTGTTGTTTGATTCGACTTTCCTTTCCTATTTGTTACAGGACTTATCTTTGTAAGCGTATTTACAGTGTACTTTTTTTCTTGAGTTCCCTGAATATCTGAATATGCGTTTTCTGCAACGCAATTGTCCGTTTGAATCTCTTGTACATTATTCTGTTTTTTATTACTTTTTTTCTTGGCACCAAACGTAATATTGCTTATAACGTTACTGTTATCTAAACTCGATTCTTCGCATCTCTTGAAAGATAACATGTCTTTCGCCTCGGTATCTAACTTAAATCTGCGTTCTTCATCTGCGGACCAGTCAGGGATTTTTAGTCCTTTCTGGACGTTATCTTTATCTTTATACTTTTTCACATTCATCAATGCCCAATCCGGATACGTTTCTTCTTTTTTCGCTATTTTCTGCTTCTCTTCATTCATTAATTTCTCTTTTAAAGAAGTCGAATCTTGCGTTAAATGTACAGGCATGTGCGATAAAAGTCTTAAATCTAGAGGTGGCTGAACTGGACTTTCTCTTGAGAAGTTGGCTAAAGCCCGTAATATTCGATCCGCTTCAAGAAACGAAATAGCGAGAACACATATTAATAATATAGATGAAAGACTAATAGCTGCCCATTGCACGGTGTATTCCCACGATGGTCTTGTAAGCGCAGCTGTACAAGCTTCCAACGAATGCAGAGGCAAAGTAGCGAGTAAATTAAGTATCACCATACCATTTTCTATATCACTATCAGACCCCAAACTCGTAGATATCAGAAGTTTTCTTTCGATACGTGACAACGTAAAATCTGGCGTAAATGCTATTTCCACCTTCTTCGTAGCGTTTGGGTTCAATTTAAACGGCATACAGTTTAATACTTTAAAACCATATCCTTCGCACTGTAAACCGTTAATATAAAAATCATAGATTTCTATAGGAAGTTCTCCTGTATTTCTTGCCATAAAGGACCTTTTTACTGTCAGATTTGGAATCGGATTTCGTTTAAATCGTTCTCCTATCATTCAAAAAAACAACAAAACAGTTAAGCAATAATTTTTAAAAATATTATTTTATATTATTTGTTCATAATTAAATAGATGGTAATTTTTGAGGAAATGCTTTCATTTATCTATTCTGCTTAAACGATAGAACGAGGATGAAGAAACGTACATACGTTCACAATCTTTAAGATGTTTATCTGCAAGTTCAAATAATAAAGGCGTAGTAGAACCTGGCTTTCGATTTCCAAATCTAAATTGTGCATTTGCTCCTTGTCCCATTACACGCAATACTTCCAATATAGTCATGTTATTCCTGCAATTGGAAATGAAATAAGATTTCGTTCTTCTAATTTCATGAATGTAATAATGAAATTTACCTAATATATAAAAGTGCGGATGATAAAGATGGTGAGAAAGGTGTGTATGATATTTGTATAATTCTTGATTCCGAAGGTTTTAAATATAAGGGAACCGATTGTGATGCTACTGTAACATCCCATTCTCTTTCAAACCTTTCTCTGTCTGCTATACTTTCTACTAGCTTAAATTCTTCTGCAATTGTAGATCCACATTCTACACATGTAAACTTAAATCTACACATAAAAAGTATATTTATTTATACATAGATACATAATTTTATTATAATTTTTTTGTGAATGATAATCATTTTTTATATATTCATTTATTTATTTAAAAAATACATACTTAGCAGGTAATGAATGATAAAGTCTTGTTCCTTGTGGATAAGTCCAATCCATAACTAATTGTATTATTAAAGGAGTAATGCTTGGATTATAAACTTTGATCGTGCTATAGGATGTATTTCCAACTTGTGTCAAAGGAAATACTAAAGCGATTTTATTTTTATTATTACCGAAACCAGTTAATAAACTGGGCCAATGTGGTTTTATATTTAAATAAAATTTGTGCCCGCGAACTTCCGTTGTATCTAGACGCATCGTAATATTGTCCCAAGAACGGCCGCCTGTTGAATTAAGAAAACGTGTATATCTGGTATTTAACAAATTTAAATCAGAATCCCTTGTATGTGATGGAAGGGCCAAAGTATTTAACCACTGTTTACCAGCTATAACAGAATGAAAAATATTAATTCAACATCATTAAATTAAAGTGTAGTATTAACTTGTAGTAAAATAACTAACTTACCATTGCTGTCCAATGACAAGCCTAAATAACAATGATGCTTACAAGCCAC